TGTTTCGAATTCGCTTGCTGAAGCGAGGAAATGGATATTCTACTGTCATGTTGGCGGCGGGGCTTGCGAACGTCCAAGCCATGACAGGAAACGCATCTTGGCTTAGAGCTGTTTAAAACTACCCCTAGTCAACATCGTTTCCTATCACAAATTCGTCACCTTCTTTCTTTTCATCCAATTACAATGTCGAAAGAGGCTTCTATGTTCCAGGCTGGTGACTTGGTCACCAGTTCAGGTACAACCGACGATTTGACCGTTCAAGAGCTCCCACTACCCAAAGACTTTCGATGGGGTACTGCCACTGCAGCATATCAAGTCGAAGGTGGCGTAAACCAAGATGGCAAAGGTCAGTCCATCTGGGACGCCTACACACATCTAGAGCCCCCGCGAACAAACAATGGGGAAACCGGTGATATAGCATGCGACCACTACAATCGAGTCCCCGAGGACATCGACCTCATGAAGGCGTGCGGCGTCGACGTTTATCGCTTCTCTATATCGTGGACACGAATCATTCCCCTTGGAGGTCGAAACGATCCTATAAATGAGAAGGGAATAGCTTTCTACAACAATCTCATCGACCGGTTGTTGGCGCGCGGGATAGAGCCCGTGGTGACACTGTATCATTGGGATGCGCCCCAGACTCTTTACGATCGTTACAGGGCTTTTCTCAACACGGAGGAGTTCACTGCTGACTTTTCCAACTATGCACGATTATGCTTTGAGCATTTTGGCGATCGTGTTAAGAAATGGATCACCTTCAACGAGCCATACATCATCTCTATCTTTGGGCATGTCAACGGAACACTTGCCCCGGGACATCGTGCAGAAGACGGTTTCGACACAAAAAATGAGCCGTGGCGCGTCGGTCATACGCTGATTATCTCGCATGCTGTTGCTATTCAGCTCTATGTAAAAGAGTTCCAGCGTGCGCAACAAGGAGAGATCTCCATCGTGCTGAACAGCCATTTCTACGAGCCATATTCTGATGCACAAGCCGACATTGATGCTGCGAAACGACGACTTGAGTTCTATGTTGGGTGGTTTGGCGATCCCATCTTCCTCGGCCAAGACTATCCTGTCTCGATGCGAAACTATCTGGGCGACAGACTACCCCATTTCAGCATTGTCGAGCGCGAGCTTCTCCGCGAGACAGCTCCTCTCAATACATTCTATGGCATGAACCACTACTCGACCAAATTCGCCCGTGCGCTCCCCGACCCTCCCTCCGAAGACGACTGGACAGGCAATATCGAGGAGGGAGCTGTGAATGGGGCCGGCCAGGAAATAGGACCTGTTTCTCAGTTTGGATGGCTTCGCGTCGCACCCAATGGCTTCCGCAAGTTGTTGAACTGGGTGTGGAATCGATACCATCTGCCTATTATCGTCACGGAAAACGGATGCCCATGCCCTGGAGAGCAGGATCTCAAGGTAGCGATCGACGACAAGTTTCGCGAGCGGTATTTCGGTCTATACCTGGATGCCATTTCGCGAGCTATATACGACGATGGCATTCCCGTCAAGGGCTACTACGTGTGGACTCTCATGGATAATTTTGGTATGCCTCTCTTCTGTTAATTACTTACGCGATACACTAACATATCATAGAATGGTCGGCTGGATATCAACCAAAATTCGGTATTGTTCACGTCAACTTTGAAAACGGCTTGACACGCACGCCCAAGAACTCGGCAACGTACCTACGCGAGACCTTCCAGCGAAGAAGACAGGGCTATAAGAATTAAGATAGATACATTTGCATATGTAGACTCCTTTACAATAGAACGTAGTAGAAATACAAAGACCATCAAGCTGTCCTTGAACTCATCAACGAGACCCAGTTCGTGACTAACGGGTGCCACAAAATGGCTCCATAATTTGCAGCCCATGCCTATCATACTCTCACCAACAAGCACGTTGTTGTCGGAGAGCTCCGTTGGCTGCATAGCGAAGAACTGTAGTAAAGCGTATCTCGTATCTTGAACATCCTGCAGATACCGAGTGACCAACAATTGTCACGACAATTGCGGCTGAAGTCAAGCGTGGCGACGCAACAGTCCATGATCCACATCCTCGGGTTCGGGGTAGTATTACCTCGAGCCTTGCCGAATCGACCTTTTGTGGCGTTCAAAACGACGTGGTTGTTTCCATATGCTACCCCAAAGGCTACGAGGAAAACTCGTCGGAATTCGATTCAGTCCAGACTTTCTTTTCACGAGAGTTGTAAAGTTAGATCGTGTGATGTTCTGAGCTAATTTAACCTCTATTCCCGAGCCATCAACTCAATTCAAAAACATTCAGCCAATCGCTTTAATGCAAAACCCTCAAAGTGGTCAGATTCGGCTAACACATGGACTTAACAAGCCGTCGGAAAACTTTGTCGGAAAACTCGTCGGGCGTGCAGCATTATGGGGTCATTGAAATCTGTCCAGTCACAACCCCTGACCATGTACCCCAGGCGACGAAACTGCGGGGTATGAGTGCACTAAACGTTGGATACGCGGGTTCTCGCTTGTTAGTCTCGTTGACCCCGTGGGGAGCGAGGATCGAATTCCGATGCTACTACACAGCAAAGGATTCTTATATGAGATGTCCTCAAGTACGGTCATCAAATCAGCTCTGGATCAATCCAACTGTGTGTTTTCTCTTATATCTTTTACACCAAAAGCAGTGACGCCGAATCACTATGGCTCCTCCTAGCGACTCCAAGACGCCTATCGACAATCCTACTCGGGTTGATTCCCATGATCATGTTGAAACTGCACTCAAGCATGATGATCTTGCTGCTGAGGCCGTCGCACAGGGTCAGGCCCTCTCAGGATATGAGAACTTGACATTTTGGGAGACCGTTCGAACTTTCAAGATGGCCTCACTCGTCTGCTTGCTCTCTGCCTTTAGTGCTGGAGCTGATGGTTACCAAATTGCGTATGTATCATACCTACCCCGTTATCCTAGCACTCGACTGATGCGACTTTAGTATGCAAGCAAGCATTATTGCCAACAAAGGCTTTGTCCAACAGTTTGCCACGGCGGTCAACGAACAAGGTGAAAAGTTCCTCGCCTCCAACATCATCGCTACTTGGAGTGCTGGCCAGAACGTAGGCCAGGTCCTCGGTCAAATCGGAATCTCCTTTGTAGTTGCGCGGTTCGGTCGCAAGATTGCCATGTACACTCTCTGGACCATCCTCATGAGCAGTGTCTTGGCTGAATCACTCGCCCGAACCTGGCCGGTCTGGTTTGGTGCCAAGATGCTTGCTGGTACTGGTGTCGGTTGCCTCCAAGCTACTCTACTGGGTTACATCACTGAAGTCAGCCCAACAAGAGTCCGTGGTGGCATGTTGATGCTTTACAGCTTCTGGTGGACTTTGGGTTCTTTTTGCACCCATGTGGCTCTCCTACGACTGAACAAGACCGATCCCTTCAACTGGCTTACACCTGTATATACGCAGTGGGGACATATCGGAGTTATGGCTATCATCTACGTCTTGCTTCCCGAATCGCCTTCCTGGTGTGTCACTGTCGGACAAGAAGAGCGGGCCAAGAAGAATATCAGGTTTCTCTACCGTGGAGTCGAAAACTTTGATGTCGATCGCCACTATGAACTCCTCGCCCTGAACGTCGAACACGAAAAGGCTTTGGCGGCCGAGCAACGAAACGAAAGCTGGCTGGCTATCTTTAAGGGCACCAACGGCCGCCGTACCATCACCGCCATGTGGACCCTTGTTGCGCAGCAGTTCCTGGGTCTTGCCCTCTTTGGTAGCTTTGGTACCTACTTCTTCCAGCAGGCTGGCCTGGCCGACCCCTTCCAGATCAAGGCCATCACTACGTCCCTGCAGATAATCGTCGTTATCCTGGCTGTCTTTGGAGTCGATAGATTTGGTCGTCGCCGCATGGCCTGCTGCGCTACGTCCTTGATGTGGATCTCTTGCCTGATCGTTGGTATTATAGGAGTTGCTCCCCAAAGTGGTGCAAGCACCTATGTGTTTGTTTTGTTTGCGTGCTTCTGGAGTGAGTCTTAAATGGTCTATCACCATCAATCACAATAAGTTAACTTTTGTTTCTCTAGACATTGGTATCTCGGCCAATGGAGCTGCGGGCTGGGGCTACACCGGCGAAATATCCTCGCAACGACTTCGACCATACACGTCTGGCTTCGCAGCCTCTGCCAACTCCATCAGCGGCCTTATTATGTCTGTTCTTACACCATATATGGTCAATGCCAATAAGTGGGATTGGAAGCTCAAGACTGGCTTTTTCTATGCTGGCGTTGGTCTTCCATGGGTTATAGGCACATGGCTGTTGGTGCCCGAGACGGCTCGGTAAGCCACGTTGAACACCTTGACGTCCTGACAAAACTGATTCGTTTCTAGTCGATCCCCTGCCGAGCTTGACGAACTTTTTGAGCGTAAGATCAAGGCCTGGAAATTCCACACTACTGAGACTGCTACGCAGCGTCTAATGCAGAGTGACAATGCGGAAACTTCTGAAAAGTGACTAGTGTTAAGGACTAAAGAGACTAATATAATTAGGGGTTCTAAGGTTAACCTAGTTTAGATTAATTAAACTAATCTAATACCTCTAATTTATATAACTAATTAACTAGATTAGTGGCGGTGGCGTAAGGAGCTGAACTAATACTGCATTCCAGTCAGCTAGCCACAACCTTGGCTTCTGTATCTCTAAGGGCATCTTTCATTTGCGGCTTGACCCTGTGACTTTACATAGGTCACGCGCCCAGTCACCAGGTACAATTCCATGTAGTGGAATCGATTGGAACCTCCGTGGTATTACAGAGCTCTAGATAACCTCGCTTTCACAAATTTCACATTAGGCGTTAAAGGCGTTAAATAGTTCGAGAAAAACTGGGACTGACCCTGCAAGCCACAGTTGGTCTCGAACGCAAGTTCTTATCCAAGGCTCGATGGATTGGTTATATAGTACGGAGATGCCTTGTCGAAAGGCGCCTTTATGTCGCTAAATAACAATACCAATTCAACAACATGCCGACCAAGGCCCCGGGTTTCCAAGAGACGGTTCATCCAACGCCAACGATGCCACTGAACCAAGAAGGGCCTCCCAACAGCGATAATGTTCACAACCTCATGTTTCCGCCAGCATATGATACGACAAGAATGCGACATGTAAGCCGTTTCGACAAGAATGCCATCTTTGCCATGGCAGGCGGCCTCTTAATTATTCTTATATGTGTAGCCTTCCTCTGCTTTTTATGGTTCGGGAACGAGGACAATAGTGTCTGGCGTCACATCGTCATCACGAATTGGGTATCGCGATCTATTACCATCACGTCCCTCATACTGCGATGGTCAGTAACCGCCCAAGCAGTGGTAATGACATCTATGATCGCTGCGCTGCTGCTTCAGATGTCGCAGACGCCCTTAACACAGGCTGCTGCTGTGTCTCTGGCTGTATGCTCCAACCGAGGGCCGCATGAACTCATCTTCCGCCTGCCTCACTCGTTGGGTAGTCGTAGCTGGCTTTTCTGGCTGGTTGTGTTGCTGATGACATGCATAACAACCTTGCTACAGTTCACGTCGACTGCACTGCTCTCGGATGTTGGCTCTGGGATAATTATCGACAGCCAATCTCTCAAAATATCATATGGTATTAACTCCTCGTTTGGGGGCTCTCTTGCTGCTTCTGGGGGATACATTGCTGCAAGACCACTTAGTTATCCGGCTTTTGCCGAATATACCGAGCCAGCTTCTCCACGTGACGGCATCACGGACACGGGACTGTCGATGAGAGCATTCTTGCCAATCGACCCTCGATCTAGTCGCGAGGCTTTAGTTAGCTATAACGGCATGGCGACTGTGATGGATACAAGAGTAGCTTGCATGCGACCGACCTTCGCAAATGTCACAGTACAGTCCTACGGGATCTATCGTTGGATTGCAGGTTCTGTCTGGACCAAACTCAAGGTTCCCCGAATGAACACTACATTAGGCATGGATGGGGATGTTCAACCTTCTCACTTCAATTGTTCCTACTCTCTCGACCAAGGTGATCCCGACAGTTCATTGCGGATCAGTTTCTGCAATGTTTATTTCATGGATGAAAACGACGACCGCGACACAGGGATTATTTCAGACATGGAACCTATTCCTCCGGAACCTTACACTGCGTCGTCCCCCGGGGGTATGTATCTTATCATCAATACCACAGGTGCACATACCGACTGGAACGAGGTTAATAACGCTGGAAGGAATCTGAGAATTGAAACTGTCGTTCAAGACAAGAGTGAATGGACTACGCTGGAATCGGATGTGAAGGGGTTGTCGTTCGTTATGACACTTTGTTCATTCGACCCGGTGGTCCAAGATATGAACATCACGGCCACACGGACAAAAGGCGGCGCTGAGCCGATGGCGCGCTGGTTAAACTCAACTAGTACCTACGACACTGAGGCCATCCTGGCACAACTGGGAGGGACCAAAGATCACCTTTCTTATGACGATCGTGGTATCTTCAAACTTGCAAAAAAGGAATCATGGCTTACGCCGCCATCCGTCATCGACCGAGGTACATACTGGGAGAGCAGTCCAGCGCCGCCTGCCGATCCGTACTATATTCTATTCGGCGCCTTTGATGGACTACCTGGTGGCGGTGGTTACTTGATCAACCTTTTTGGCTCCGACGACAGCGGCGATGCAAATGGCATTAGACTGAACCGTCTACATGGTGAGGTGTTCAAAGAAACAATAAAGGCTACAGGTAGCGCCGCATGGGCGATTCAAGCACTCGTCACAAGTCTCTACAGCATGGCGTATTACGACTATATCTTTCAGTTCGACATACCGGCGCCAGCAGACTTGAAAGCTGAGCAGGTAGTAACACGGCCAGTTTCGATTAAGTTTTTGATGGTTGTCTTGGCATTGTTGTCTCTGCATCTAGCACTTATGATATTTGCAACATTATGGTTTTCACAGCGTGCAAAGGATGGTCTTATTGGGGGTTCTTGGGCGGCAGTTGCACGCATATCAGGACAGCCTACGGATGACTGGCTAGCCAAAGCAAGTACAATGACAGATACAGAGATAAGTAAAGGTTTGCAGAATGTTGGCCAGCAGGTTAAATTGGTAGGATTAGTAAGGTCTGGCGATAGAGTCTACCTACTTTAGACTTAAATCCTTACTGGTTTAACATTCTAACAATGGTCGACTTATGAAACTATTTTCAGATTGCTGGTGCTACTATGATGCTAATAATCTCACTATTTATAATATCATAATTTATTGGTGCGGCCATTGACTTAGCTATAGAAATGGAGAGGTCACGAATGTTTTATAATAAGCTTGAAGAAGATGTTGACCGAGGTATTTCCGCCGATAAGAGAGGAGGATAAACTGAAGTTGCTGGCAATGCACAGAGCGCAAGCAGAAACCTCATCACCCCTGAAGATGCCATACCTGGTGAGAATTCATTACATACCAAATATCTAAGATCAATAAGCAGACATTTCTCAAAACTCAGTATTTTCTCTTTATCTGAGGCGCAGCATTGGGAAGTCGTGGCTAGTGAATTTAGATGAATTAGATTAGCTGAGTCGGAATATCCCGAGTCTTAAGGAACTTCCAGTATCCACTGCAGCTAAGACGATATATGTCGAGAAATCAATGGCCCGAACCGGCTTTTGGTGCTTATTTTAGCACGATTTACCTTATCTGAAGCCATCGGCCTCACTTACATTGGCCTCGCTGCTCTATCTCTGTAGACCAGCACGCTGTTGTCATCTCGAACTACAACAGGTCTGAGAATCCTATGTTTAGTATGTGGGATGAAGTCGTATTCAGATTCTTCAGTGTTACTAACAATGCAAAGGCACACCATGTCGGTTTCAAAGAGCGCCGCAGCCAGACAGAGAAATGAAAGTTTGGGAGCGTAAGAGGTTTTCTGGCACATATATGCATCATCAACCTTTACTAACAGCATTCAAGAGCAAGAGCAACAGCTGCGGCACCGCCCTATTTCAAGCCCTACGAGAAAGCCGAGACCAAAGGGATGTATCTTGATGGCGCTTTGTACCACAACTGCCCAGTTTGGGCTGCCCACCACGAGAAAAGGTTAATATAAGGCGATGTAAGTGGGCGCCTCCCAAAACTCCTTGTTTTTGTTGAAACCAGTTTTCATAAGCATGACTCTACAGGGGACCCGGCAGAGCGTCTCTCACCCCACTCACCATAAACAAAAGGCGGGCAAGCAATCTCTGACTACGCAGTTATACCAGACAGGCAGTGGGAGACTTGGTGATATTCTCAACTGCAATCGTATCTGGGAGTCATTTTTCACTGAAAACTCTCAACTCCATGGCCGTTCCCTCCCCGATGGATAGCAACGCTACATAAGAATCAACCCTGATCTTGGGGAGAGTGTGCCCAGGCTTGATGATGTGTCAATGATGGAAGAGGTTGAGCGAAAAACCTCCAGGTATCTGAAGCAAAACAGAGAACTAGTCAAAGAAACAGCACATCGCCTCATCGCCAGCACTTTTTTCTTCGAAACGGATCCTAGTCGAATCAAACATGTTGGAAATGGATTCAGGTGTCAAGGTGAGTTGCTCTCAAAATTCAAGACTTTTATTACTTACGTATTACCTCAGGCCGTATCCTTTGTAGGTTCGTTGACCGTTCTGATAACCTAAAAGCCCTCGGAAAGTTTCTTCAGGCTCAGGTCAGGGGAAGTTTCGAGCCCTATTTCACCATTCAGGAACAGGGATATCCCAGCGAGGAGATCACAGTACCGCTTTCAGAAGATACCATCAATGCCATGTGCGTCAGAGGAAACTTGGAACTAGATGTGATCGAGTTTCGTGAAAACAAGGAGTTCTCACCCATTCACATGTCTTTGTGTCTTGAAGATAACTCATCATCTGGTTCAATTGACCGATCTTTTCCCATCAGTGGATTCCCACGAGAACTGATGGACGAGCATAGACAGCCAGGTACGTGTCTGCTTCCATTCGACCGATAAAGCCGCCGCCATGTGGGAAACGAACGTGACAACATCAAATTCGATGGCGTAGTCTGCCCAAAGCGACTTGGGATAATTTGGGCTAACATATCTTCCTAGGGCCACCACGAACCACTGTGAATAGTGAACTTCGCCGTGATTCGAGTGGCAGGAGGGTCCCCTATACTAGAGCGATGCATAACAAGGGTAGCATTGATGAGCATGACTTAGATGCTCTTGGTAACTTGACATTGAGTCCATGGCTTACTGATCTTAAGAATGGCAGTAATATGTTTAACGTAAGTCCTTCCGAGACAGAACAGGTTTACGAGCTAGAAGGCTAGGGTTCTTATTATATTATATTTGAATATGAAATTAAAATACTTAGCGACCTTCCTGTCAAGATTGCAAGGATGGTAAGTTGGTGATACTTAGGCTCAATGCAGAGTTTTGCTTTGCTCTCAGGAAGCGCTGATACAGGCCATCCCTTATTACCAGAAGCGCCATCTTCGCCGTAGGCAAAGTCAACCACCCTTTTCCCACTCGGTATTATAAAATCTGACAGGATATATAATTTTAATCCGGTATACTAGTTCTACGAAGCCTAATATAAGCTAAGTACATATAGTAGGAAAAAGAGCGTCTGTATATTTATTTAACCTTATAGACTCTCTTCGATTGCCAATGACTAATTCGGCACTTCCATTATTATATTATACTCCTCCCCGTCATATATGCAATGCAGAGTGAGAACGCGGGAGCTTTGAAAAATGATCGGTGTTAAAAGATATAAGATGAAAATTCCGGGGGCTAGGAAAAGTTGCCCAAGTGGATGAATTGTTGTACTTCAACGTAAAGGAATTAGTCAACGCAACCTTAGCATGTAACTGTGGTCCTGGGGGAATCAAGATGTACAATACTTTAAACGGCTATACGGCTCGACAAGTGCCCTTAATGACTAAATCCGTGGGCATTATATACCATCATAGCATATTATTTGCCCAGCACAGTTGGCCACCACCTCGATTGGAGAAGATAGCCCCGCATAGTGCGCGTAATGATGCGAGTTAAAGGTAAGCACTCTCCCCAATGGAATGGCATGAATCGAGAATCATCTGGGGTATAAAGTTGGTTTGAGTTTTGACTTGGATAAGTATATATCCTCCCTATGGTAACAGACTTTTTGTACATCTGGGTTGTTGCCGTATTAGCCGGGACCACGCGGCACTCACCAAAGCGGCAATAACGGCATATGGGGTACATAGTATCCCCAATTAATGCCAACTGCGGGGTACAGAGTCAGATTCAGTTCTCCGGGTTTTGCCTTTTCATTATGGGGTCTCCGCGGACCTGGGGTAATGCTGTTATATACCAATGTAGCCCTGCGCTCTATTCTTGCATCGGTGTAGGCTGCTCTGAGAGCTTGATAAGCAGGAAACAGATCACAGATATCTTGCTTCTTCACCTTGCTTATAAGCACCGCCCATAAATTGACTCTTGTCGCTTATTCCTGTCTAGTTTCCTTTCTTATCTCTAAGCAAATTGTCTCCCTAGACTATCTTCAACTGTACGACTATGTCTTACTTCGGTCTTCGGGGAAAGCCTCTCAGCACCTTACTGAGTATAGTCGCAGCGACGGCCTTTGCTCTCCAAGGCTATGATCAAGCCGTTATGAACGGTCTGTTGACCCTGGATACCTTTAAGCACCAGTTTCCTCAGATCAAGAACTCAAATATCGAAGGTTAGCACGCTTCGACTATCAGTCAGGCCTCCCCTTTACTCCTATGGCTGCTGACCGGCCTTCTTATTTTCTTTCAGGTACTGCCGTGGCTATTTATGAAGTTGGCTGCGCGATCGGAGCCCTGTCTTGTGCCTTTCTTGGCGATATTCTTGGTCGCCGTCGTACAATATTCATTGCAGGCTGCATCGTGATTGTTGGTGTCGCGATACAGAGCAGTTCATTCTCCCTTGGACAGCTCATTGCTTCCAGAGTCATCACAGGTCTCGGGGTGGGTGCATTGACTGCTACGATCCCCATGTGGGTGTCTGAGTGCTCCAGTGCCAAGGAACGTGGTCGCCGTGTTCTTCTGCAAGGTTTCTTCGCCATTGGCGGAATTGTAGTTGCATCGTGGATGGAGTTTGGCCTCTATTTCGTCAAAAACGACCAAGTCAACTTTCGCTTCCCTATCGCCTTCCAAGGCATATTCGCCATTATCATCACCTCATTCGTCATGTTTCTACCCGAGTCTCCTCGCTGGCTCATTAAACAAGATCGCTTCGAGGAAGCGATTCTGGTCATGGCTGCCCTCGAGGACCTCCCCGATGACTCCGTGGTCATCAGCGAGGAGCTTTCCCTCATCCGCGACGCCTATATCGAGGAGCAGAACCAGAAGGTATCTATCTTCACCATGGGACCCGAGCGCCAGTTTCATCGCGTTGTTCTCGCTGTTGGCCTCGCCATCCTCGCTCAGATGTCTGGCATAAATATTGTCACCTTTTATTCCACAACCATCTTCCAGCAGCAGCTCAACTACTCGCCTACAGATTCTCGCATCTTCTCTGCATGCTTGCAAGTCTGGCAATTCATCGCTGCTGGCTTTGCTCTTGTGCTTATTGACAGGTTTGGCCGCCGCAAGTTACTCATGGCTGGTGCTTTGGGCATGTGTGTTGCGCAGACTTCGCTAGCAGGTCTCATGTCTGACCTAACTAACAAGTCTGCGAGTGAAGCTGCTATCTTCTTTTACTTTGTGGCTATGTTCTTCTTCCCCGTCGGCCTCTTCCTTCTCCCCTTCATGTATGCTGCCGAAATATCACCTCTAAGCATCCGTGCACAGATTACCGCCATTAGTGCCTGCGCCAACTGGCTATTCAACTTTCTTGTTGCTGAAGTTTCCCCTCATGCCTTGAAGAACATTGGATACAGATACTACATCGTATATGCCTGTATCACCCTCTTTACTCTCATCGTTATCTTGCTCTTCTATCCGGAAACCAAGGGTCGTACTTTGGAGGAGATTGATGATATTTTTATCCAGTCCAAGAGCATCTGGGACCCAGTCAAGATTGAGAGGAATTTGCCAAGAGATGCTGTCGCATTGGCTGAACGAATCCGCAATGCGCATGACAAGGAGAAACATGATGCAATTCATGCTGAGAATATATAAGTAAACTAAGCTTAGTATTAAATTAATACTGGGCTAAAGTAAAGTATCAGGGCTAGACAGCAGTGCGATCGGGGTGACGGAACTCACCATCGCTGTACTTGGTATCCTGCCCCCATGGAATATTCATGAAACCGTTGCAGAACGGTTTCCATGTATTAAGAGGTCTCGGTGAATCTTGGGCAAATCTCACCGCGTCTTATTTAGTAAAAGCTACAACAGTCTGTATATAAAATATCAGCCTCTGTAATAGACAATGCATACTCCTAGTACTTACATCACGCTGCATAACACGGGTTGCTCGATTATTGCCCTGATCCGCTGATGTAACTTTGGCCCCTTGGAAGGAAAGCCCTTTTCTACCACTCACGCCATTAAATAGAAGTGTGAGCCTCCTAAGGTTACTGTTGCCAGGTAAGCCTAGAGCTATTTCATCCCAGAAACTATCTGTTTTGAACCAATTGGTTTAAAATCTTCAATGCCATTCGGACCCTCCAGCGCTAGCATGACTTCGGTATCATGGGTTCTTGTATCCACCTGGTAAGGGGTCTTGGGATAAACCAATTCACGAACATGTGAACGAGTTGGACTTCCTCAATATCCTCAGCTGCGAGTTTGATAAGGTGTTAAAAAGCGTAATAGGGATAAGGGGATATTACTTACTAGCATTTTTGCCGGATTAATTACTGACTTTCTAGCTTCTGCGTCTCGGGCTGGCAGACTTTCGGTTGTTTTACTGGATACGTAAACCATCGGATGGCACTTGGAGCTATTTCTTTCATCCTTGCAGCGCATCTAGCAGCTTATAATATGGCTGCCTTTCTATTCTGTTTGCTGCAGGCTCGTCATGTGACTGTGCCCAGTTAAAATTGCCAGAATCCTCTATGTAATCTTCACCAACTCAACTCAAGCAAATCTATAAACATTTTAACACACCCACAGTTTACTTGCAATGGTCAGACTCAAGTCTTCTGCACTCAAGCACTATGTTGTCAACTTCGCGGATCACGCAGGTCGGCCAGCAAAGATGATCTGGAGCAACCCGCCAAGAAACATCCTAATACCACTGCCAAGCCTATCTCTCTATTTCGTCCATCCAGAATTTTCTGTAGATGATCTGGAAATGAGGCAATTCTTAACAGATATTCGGAACGGGGATGGTGATCCCATTCGATTCGAAATGTTCCATCTCCCTGGGCCCAGTGATGCCGACTGCGCCCAGCATTACCGGGACGAACTCAAGGCTCGCGGCGATGTATTTGAGCAGGTTCGAGAGGCTGAAAAGGCTTATGAACATTGGGAGGATAAGGAAAAGGATGTCCAATACGCAGCTGAACAAGAGCCCCATGGCAAGCTCCCTGGCTTTATTTCATCACAAAAGGGCGCATATCTTGGCTACCATGGCGTTCTATACGTGTACAAGGATCCTGTATGGAAACACGAAGGCGAAGAGCAATCCGTTGACGTCGTTGAGTTCGATCCAGCATTGACGGCGGATGACTATGATCTTGGTGAACTGGAAATGAGGGGACCGCAGCCCCCGTTCAAAATCACACGGATGTCGGCTAAAAGGAAGTCTAAGGTTTTACGGTATGAGGATCAAGGGGTTTGGCTGTGGTTTTTCGACCATAGGGCTTGGGATTGGTGGGATCCAACCACAACTGCCACTAGCCAGGCTCAGCACATGGGATGGACGTCATGGCAGTAAAGTCAAGTTAAGGTATGCAAGAAATACACTCAAAGTGTCCATGACAACACCAGATACTGCATCCGACAACTACCAAGATATGTCTGCGCTCCCTCTGCTACTGAAAGAATCAGTACCATTGCCATGGCCAGCCCTACTGCCTCCCTTGATTTTAGGTGCCGTTAGATGACGAAATACTCCTTTCCCAAGCTTGCTATATAACGGAAGAACACCGCCAGACTCGACCAGAGCTTCCTCAACTTCAGACTGCATATAGTGAAAGGTTATATCTGAGCCTTCAATATGGATTGTCTTGTTATCCTTGTTGATGGTGATGACTGAGTCTTCCTGCGCAAGCTCGTAAAACCTGGGGTCTTGGATCTTTATGCTGAATAATCCCATATTCAGTTGATTTCTCTCATCTGGATATGTTAACCATTGTTCCTTTTTCTTGCAAGGCAGAACATACAGATGAACGCGAAACCTTTCGCTATTACTGCCTCTACACCTGCTCCCTGTAGGGCTCTTACTGCGTCTTCGCGTGAAGATCCACTGCCAAACCCATGTTCGGCAACACGGTGTCCTGTCAGTGTCCGCCGGACTGATGCGTAATAAGAGACTTACATTATTGTTGAACCGTTCGTGACCTTGTCCCTGAACTCTGGGCGGAAGTACTGGAAGCAGTGGCTTCCCAGATCAGCATTGTCAACTCCTGGCATGAACTCAGCAGGGATGATTGCATCACTGTCGTTGTCAGTCAAGGTCGTTCGAATTGGGATCTCGTTCAACTTACGTATCAACATTTTCTCCAAATCGCTGCACCTTTGATCGAATGATCCTCGGAGTAGTAGCTCCAACATCAGACTCGCTGCTGCTGAGGAGTACGGGTACAGAGTTCGATGACATCTCGGGTCTTGGTTCGCTAATCCTTAATACTGGTTGGGGCCCACTGGATCTCCCTCCACTGACAAGCCTCTCAAGCTTTGCACTATCCAACTGATCAAGCAGGAACTTGGGATCCGTGACAACCATGTCAAAGCTTGAGGCAGCTACAGCAGCCGCGCAAGTAATGTTGCCGAAACTTCCTTTCCCCATTCTGTTTCTGAAGTTGCGGTTTTGAGAGGACAGCCAAACCTCTCCTTCGCCAGCGACATCAACATCATTGATCCCAACACAGTAGGAGCAGCCAGGTGCGCCAACCTCAAAGCCAGCTTGTCTATAAATATCCAACAGACCATGCTTGTCAAGGTTCTTAATGATGATTAAGCTTCCTGGCGTGACGCGGCGTTTTCCGTGTCGAGATGGCCGCATACCTGCGTACAACCCAGCCTCAAGCACCAAAGCGCCGACGATGAGGTCCTCTTCGGTTGTTGTGCAGGCACCGATGAAGCATCCATCAAGCTTCATACCGGCCTTTTCGTGAATTGGAACAACATCATCGGGATTCGGATGCAGCGCCATGGTCAAGCGGACTTCTGAGAGATCAATAGTCTTGACATCGACATATTGAGCGTCTGGGTCTGCACGGAAGAAAAGACCACCTTCGCGATGCTCGGGGAGTTTTCGACGTGAGATCCAAGCTGAAGTCTCTCCATCAGCCTCGAAGCAAGTACCCATACCCCCAAACTCGGTTGTCATGTTGGCAATGGCGAAACGAGCATCCATAGATAACTCCTTGAGACCGGGGCCGCCATACTCAACAGCTCGCTGAAATGCAATAGTGTTGCGTTTAAAGAGACCCAGGATATGTAGAATGACATCTTTGCCACCAACTCCAAAAGGAAGTTTTCCAACGAAATTGATCCTGCAAACTTCAGGCACGCGGAACCAGGTCTCACCAGTGACCATGGGCATGACGACATCAGCTGCTCCAAACCCGACAGCGAAAGAGCCCATACTCCCAGCTGAACAGGTGTGTGAGTCACTTCCAACAACAACGCGACCAGGCTGAGCACGTTCACGAGTGAAATCAGTGTGCATAATGCTCGTATTGGCGGGAAGAAAGTCGATGATCTTGGCCTCTCGTCTGAAGCGCTCTGCTTTGGCGATGAGGCCCTTTTGACGAGGCTGATGGTTTGTGCGTGGGTCCACGGTATGGTCTACTGCAAGCCAGAGGCGATCGTTACGGAATGGACGAGGTCGTCCCATTTGGTTGTAAGTCTTCTCCATGCCGCCCCAGAGGAGCTCGGATGTGAGCGTCCAATCGACCTTGACGCAGATCATATCTCCTGTCTCGACATATGGCTTGGTCAGACCAATGCCAGCGTGCGTCAAGATCTTCTCAATGACTCCCATAGGTCGGGCGCTTGTGGTGCTTTGTGGTGATAATGGTGTCGAGATAGATATCGGGAAAGATGCAGTGTCGGCTGAGTTCAAAGCCTCCAGGTAGTAGTCAAAATTATGTAAAAGGGTATCCATGAACACCTTTGGTGAAGCTGTACCACCTAGGTCAGTCGTCCTCGTGTCAGATCCAACTTGATCGATGGGATCGAGAGTTCGTCGAACAGCTTTTGATAAGGCCGTAGCTTCAGCCTTCAAACCAAGAGATATCTCAAGCATCAACCCAACTGATTGGACGATACCAAGGGGGTTTACTTCGCCATCTCTTGGTTTGAAGTTGAATGGCTCAAAGACACCAGGTGCCTTGCCTTCGCCATATATAGTGGACACAGCGGCTGATGACAAAACATCTGGCGACTTGAGTATGCCACTAGCTTGATCTGAGAGGATATCACCAAACATGTTTTCCGTCAGGATGATTCCGTTCATCTCTCGGGGATCCGATGATAAGATCATAGCTGCGTTGTCAACCAGAACATGGTCCAACTGAACCTGAGGGTACTCATTACTGAAGACTTCCGTGACAACAGATCTCCATAATCGTGAAGTAGCCATGACATTTGCCTTGTCGACCGAGTGAACTCGCTTTGGTGGGTTGAAATGCATAGCATATGTGCCAGCTAGCCTTGCCAATCTCTCAATGGTTGAGCGAGAGTAGCTAGTGGTGTCGTATGATTCACCATCCTCTCCCGCTTCTTGCTTCTCTCCATAGTAAGCACCACCCGTCAAGTCTCGGAAGAACGTGAGATCAAGACTTTCGACTGACTCTGGCTTATAAGAGCTGAGTGGTATAAGCGAGTCAGACGGAAACTTGACAGGTCTAATATTGGCGAAGAGTCCGAGTTCTCGTCGAAGTGCCAGCAATCCGTTTTCCGGCTCAATGCCGTACTTTGAATCACCGCAGGCACACACGATGGAAGCATCGGATTGGCGGCATGCTTCCAGTGTGGAGGTCGGCAGGGCGCTCAGATGCCCAGCTGCTAACGCCACGCCTCCGAAATCGTGTCGGGATATTTGGAATGCGACATCTGGCCGAATGTGTTCGATCAAATGCAAGATTTGTTCAGCGCATGATGCAAGTTGCGAGCCGTGTGCGTCTCCTGGTAGGAGAGCTATTCGGAATGATAATTGATCTTTAATGAGAGGCATGTTCAGGGTTTAGAGTTGCTTGGTTGGACAGACCAGTCAACATCACAAGATTCGCAATTAAATAGCCCAAGGGCCACTTCAATGAGTAAAAGAAGCTTCCGACATCGGAATCTCAACCGAGGATACAGGATTCTAAAACAGGTCCAGCTCGTAGTGATGTTGACCTTTGCCATTCCCCTCAGTTGGTTGTAACATGGCGGTCCGCCCTTACCCGGTCTTAGTGCCATTCCCCATGTTGCACCACAACGGCCCCGGCCGGCAACATCACAGCTCCACCTTATGATTGGTGATCGACAGAAATGCTCCTTGCAGTGGCTGGGACGCGGGGCGATGTACGTTCAGCGAATATGTAGCCTCTGTTCAATGGAGGCGATAAGCGATGATAGTTAGTGAAATGTTGAGCCAAGTCGCCTTCACTATCATAAGGTCAGCAACAGGGTAGTTCGAGATACTTTGCTGTCTGTTGATTCTATCGTTCTACGTACTCACAGAACAAATTATACGGGACGACGGAAGCTTCTTTAACTTAGAATAACTGATACTGTCTTTTGAATTGCGTCGGTTTCCTCTACTGTATCCGTGACTAACGTGGCTCCAACCCGACTATCTAATCCTTCCACTGGTGCCCGTTGGCTCCATTAGCCCGTCCTTCATATTGATACCTCTCCTCAATCTCAAAGTACTTATTGAATCCAACACCCTCACAAACCTCGTCATACGATAGAACAACAGGAGGCTTCCCAACCGTCATAGAACCCTTGATATTCTCCAGTGTCTCCCTTATACTCTTCAGCTTAGCAGCAACAAGAGTCCAAGGATAGCAGACAATGCTATAGCCAAGTTCGGCGAGGTCCTTTGCGGAGAGGTTCTGTGTTTTGCCACCCTCAATGATGTTGGCAACCACTGGGAAGTCGAGGTCCTTACGAAGACGTTCCATGGACTCGCGATCAGGGAGTGCTTCAACAAATACGGCATCAACACCAATCTCGATGGCCTTGCGTGCCCTGGTAAGTGCCTCGTCGTATCCGTGAATCAGACTGTCCGTGCGGGCGAGGATCCAGATGTCCAGGCCTTCGTTTCTAGCGTCGACAGCGGCTTGCCAGCGAGCATAGGCTTCGCTTCGGGACACCACACTTTTTCCAGCAGTGTGGCCACAGCCTGTTCACTTGAGGTTAGCACAATGCTCTTGTTGTGAGGGTGTCTTGACGTACGCTTTGGCCACGATTGGTCCTCGAGCATGATCCCAGCAGCTCCAGCCTGTGCAAATCTGTTCATCGAGTCAGTTGCCACCACATTTCATTCTTCAATCGGATCGCAACATACCCTTGAACCGTTCGGCGAACATTCATCGGACTTCCATAACCAGTATCGCCATCTACCAGAATAGGAACATTTACCTCCCTGGCTACCTCTTGGATCTTGTTGACAACCTCTCCAAAAGCAATATACCCTGTATCAGGCAGTCCAAATGCAGACGCCATAGGGTACCCAGCCAGAAAGACAACAGGAAATCCAGCCTCCTCGCATAAACGAGAACTCAAGGCATCATAGCTGCAGACATTGGCGAGAATCTTGGAGGGATCCCCGTGCGCCTCTTGCACCATGGCTCTGAGCTTGGAAGCTTGCAGGGAGGGTCTTGACCCCCGACAGTTGGTGTATTCAACCGTCACTCCTTTTCCATTGGGCTTGATGGCGGGATACTCGCTTGCCTCGAAGTGGAAAGGGTAGGGTTTGGTGTTGACGATGGACTTGGACATGTTGGCGACTTTACTGGATTGTGAATTGTGAAGTTGAATATGTTTGAATGTTTTTTGTTCTGTTTGCCCAGTCGATTAAACTATCATTCATATTTTATACACGATTTCCCCTCTCCCCTCAACGATGGCTTCTGTCCAGATCGCCGATAATCGGTGCCGACTCGGCAGTCCTGGCCATTACTGTATGTAATTGTAACATGTATTTAGGTCTGGCAGGTCCTCCTCAGCTATCGGGACCACAGGCCTGGGAGCAGTCATTGTTGCGTCGCGGGCTGATAGATCTAGGGCGGCCCGTTTAGCTACCGGACTAGGCCGGATACAAGCGGACCGACACGGATACTACCGGCCCCGAAATGATCATCCCCTCGTCAGCCACTTCCAAATCCCAGACCATCAACAATCATCCTCCCCGGCTCAATTCAGCAATTCGTTGCATCTTCTCCGCTTATCACTTTCACCCTCTCACAGACCGTCCATCCGCAATGGAGAGCCCGGATCATTCCAGCAGTACCCGACAGTTCAAACGCAGCTATGTCGCATGCGTCTCGTGCCGAGCACGCAAATCAAGATGCATCATCAAAGACAACCCTCCCTGCGCTAAATGTGCCAGGGAACATCGTGAGTGTCGGTTTGATCGCCGGCCCAGGGCCCCCAAGCACCGCGATGCCCCGAAATGGACTCGTGGGAATGTTGTGGACGCCGCGCCCGCCACTCAAACCGTTCACGCAGCGAATCCCTCCCCCTCGGAAGATCTTGGCTTTAATTCGTCGCCAAATAATACTAACCATCCACTGTACAATCGGGTGCAGTCGACAATAGTCACTGGGACTAATGATGCACTGGATTTTCTGTCAACCGCTGCAGGACAACATAGCATTGCTGGTTCAGCACCATCCCAAGGCCATCCTTCAGCCAGCCACATTCAGTCCGACGGCCCCAAAGTCGTATCTGGTGGATCTAATGGAGTCGGGTTCACCATCACAGCCCTTTCAGAGCCAGATGATGCTTGTCTAGATATGTGGGACAAGTGTCGCTTCGTCCGTCAGGGCTGGTTTACGGCCCAAGAAGCTGTCACCTACATCGACCTGTGAGTTCACTGCTCTCTGTACGCTCGATTCACGCACTAACCAGAATAGCTTCTTCGAAAAGCTTGCTCCACTATCCCCCGTCGTCCTTGACCAATTCCGCAGCCATGCATCTCATGAACATCTCGTTTACAGGGAAGCCATGCTATGCTGCACCCTGCTTATGATCTCATCCCGATTCTTCACACTGCCGGGTGCAGGCGGTACATCCAGAAGTCACTACGTCCACCAGCGCCTCTGGAGTCACTGTGAAGTCCTTATTCGACGCATCGTGCTAGGCCAGGAGAAAACATCTACCTCCCAAACAAGAACGATCGGTACCATAGAGAGTCTGATTCTGATATCCGATTGGCACCCTCGTGCTCTACATCTCCCTCCTGAAACAGACGGCTGGGATGGTCTACTTGTCACGCCTGGATATGATCGAGTCAATCGCAAGCATATCAACAACGAAGTTCCTCTTATTCGCTGGCGAGAAGATGTCTTTGAACCAGCAAAGAGGGCGAACAGAATGTCATGGATGCTCTTGGGTATGGCCAACAACTTGGCTTATGAACTCGGAATATTCTCAGGTCAGCCAGGAGATGCAAACCAGGCTGCAAGTGGTGAGGTGCTTCGTGGCCGTCGAGCTCAAAAGCTCCTCTACAATTATCTGACCCAGACTGCCACTAGACTTGGCTACCCTTCTGTGTTTCCGGAAGGCATTTCTGTGATTGCATCTCGTCTGTCCATGCAAGAAACAGGTGAACCGATTGACCAGTCCTGGATATCTTATATGGAGCTCAGTCTAGAACTTACCCAACTATCACGTACAGCATCTTCGATGTTCTTTCATTCGGCAACCCACCTTCAAACACAAGTACTCGGAGATCACTACGTAGATCTCCTTGAACACTTTTCTTTGTCTCTCTCAAAATGGCAAGAAAGGTTTGACAACATGAGCCAAGGTATTCCCTCTCTAGCTTCAGACCCGTTCATCAGCTAATGTAGTCACAAGACATCGCCTCGTCTCTGAGAGATACCCTGTCAGTCGAGTTCCATCATCTCAAAGCATGTACAGGCGCCATCTCCATACAAGCTGTAGTATCAAGGGCCTCCTCAGCTGGCTTCACAGCCGCCACCACAAACCCTGACGAAGCATTATCGGCGTTTATAACTCCCAAAGACGCCAAGTTCTTACAAGATGTCATCACTGACACCAAAAAGGTGTTGCATATCGCAACTATGAGTGGTTTTCGGGAGCATCTCCCCTACGCCCCAGCCCGTGTCAAGATTAGCGTCATTAGCTCCTCTGTATTTCTTCTCAAGGCTCTCAGCGTTGGCTCCACGCATACCGACGTAAACGACGCTTTATACACTTTAGATCAATGCACATCGACACTTAAAGACTGCCCTGCGGATGATATGGACTTTGCGTTGAGATATGCAGATCTCATCGAGAAGCATACCGCACAATTTCGAGCTCATCTTACCCAGTCCAGAGGTCTAGGCTCTAGTAATCACAGCGGGCGGGCTTCAATTCCAAGGAATGTGGCTCAAGGAGAGACTGGCATTGATGGTCCAAACTCATTCTTGTCTAGCCTGGATTCTCAACAGCTTGGAGAAGATGGGACAATGATGAACTTTGACATGGGAGATACATGGGTATCTCTTCCATTTGATTCGAGCATAGCTCCTTTCGGCGAAGGATGTGATCAAGTTGCTCTTGGGCTGGATATTGACGCTCTAAACTTCTTGTGGAGTTTGCCCGAGCTGGTTCAGGGCGAGACAGGCTTTGCTTAAACTAGACACAACATTCATTAACATTTGCGCTTGTTTCTAATTAGTAGTGGGCCTTGACTATCTCGTGTGCTTTTCCAGAGCTCAAGGTTCGCTTAGGTACTTCAATAGCCTTGTGACGGCATTCGGTGGTCGCGCATGGCGTGAGGCCTGTCATTCATGAGTGTCCGCCGACGTTCCAGATCATTAGTCCCCGGTTACCATGACGGTCCGGAGGCATCCGCTTCTATCCGGCGTGCGATGGCGGCAAGGCGTGGCTGGCCGAGACGGCCAAATGGAAAAGATTAACCGAAATTGTGATCCGTGAATTCTTTTGCAACGATCCTAACTTAATGAAAAGGCTTATGATATGACAGCTCTGTGGCTCCAGCTGGGCATTTCCTGTTCAAAGATCAGAGAGGTTTCGGAGGTAGGGGTTATCGGATTGGAACATTTGGGACTCTCGTGAAGGCGAATACAGACAGTAGTAGTGACATAATTTACCAAGATGCTTAGCCAGATTGACCAGCAAAACGCCCTCAACAGCCAAGTAGCCACTACAACGCTAAGGCTGAACCTTGTTTTCAGAGCCGCCATCCTCCTTCAATCCCAACCAAAGAATAGTGCGATTTCTAACGCGGGGTAATCTGGGGTAACCAGGGCACTGGTAATCCAAGCAAGACAACTCGTCGCCACAACTCAGGAGTCGGACAAGTATCTATATCAATGGCAGCCCATTCGCATTTCCAACGAGGGTCATCACATCTCAAGTTTAGTCTTCTCAATAATTTCTGTCTATCTCTTTACAACATGTCCAATGCCCAAGACAAGAACCAGTCTGAAGCCCTTGATGTTGAAGAAAAGGGACATTCTGATCACCTTGAGAAGCATGACACTCACATCTTCTCGGCGGTTGATGAAACCGGTACACACAAGAAAATCGATCCAGCTGAAATCAAGCTGGTGAAGAAGCTGGATTGGATTATTCTTCCGATTCTGTGGATCATGTACTGGTTCAATTACCTCGACCGCAATGCTATTACCGTTGCGCGTCTGGATGGCTTGGAGAAGGAGCTTAACCTGACTTCTACGGAGTATCAAACATGTGTTTCCATCCTATTTGTGGGATACATCCTCGGCCAAATTCCTTCCAGTAAGCAAACACCATTTCGCTACCCCTCTCCTTCCGCTAACTGACCTTTCAGACATGCTCATGACTAGAATCCGACCTTCCCTCTACATGTCCGGCGCTATGGCTCTCTGGGCTGTTGTGAGCACTCTCACCGCAATCTGCCATGACTTCAAGGGCCTCGTCCTTACGCGATTCTTCCTCGGCGTCACCGAAGCCCCTTTCTACCCAGGCGCTCTATACGTCCTCTCGATCTTCTATACCAAGAAAGAGATAGCAACTCGTATCTCCATCTTATTCACAGCCAACATCTGCGGAACTGCATTTGCAGGACTTATCGCAATTGGCGTGTTTGAGATGAGCGGCGTTGCAGGTCTAGCCGGATGGAGATGGCTCTTCATTCTCCAGGGCATCATCACTTTTGTTATCTCCCTCGCTTCAGCCTTTATCTTGCCAGATGAGCCCAGCAATACCCGTTGGCTCACAGAAGAAGAGAGGATATTGGCCCACGAGCGAATTGCCGCAGATACTGTTCAGATCCGAACCAACACGACGACTTTTGCTGGACTGATTGATGCCTGTAAGGACCCTCGTCTTTGGGTCCTCGTCTTCATGCAACACTTCCACATGGCCGCCAGCAACTTCAAGAACTTCTTCCCCACTATCGTTGGAACACTTGGCTTTGATCGCAATACGACACTCGCTCTGACCTGTCCCCCATACATCGTGTCAGGTATCGTCTGCATCGCATGGGCCGCAAACTCTGGTAAGCTCCCTGCAACGAAGCTTCTTGAGCGTCATCTAACATCAAACAGGCCGGATGAACGAAAGAACCTGGCACATTACCCTCGCGAAAGTCATGGCTGTGTTCGGCTTCATCTTAGCTTGTACCGTTCACAATACTGGCGCCCGATACTTCGCAATGTGCGTCTTTGCCAGCGGTGTCTACGCCTGTAACAGTGTTATCCTCGGTTGGGTCGCCAGCACATGCGGTCAGACCCGAGAGAAGAAGGCTATATCTCTTGCTCTAGCAAACACGGTTGCCACGCTTGGACCTATCTACACTCCGGTAAGTTCATAAATCCTTGATGTTTAACTGCGACTGACAATCCAGTATCTCTGGCCGAGTTCAGATGAGCCTATGTACCCTGTTGCCATGTCCAGCAGTGCCGCCTTTTCCGCTGCATCGGCTGTCTTGGCCTGGGTTCTAAGATGGATGCTCATCCGTGAGAATCGCAAGATTCGGGCTTCGAACAACGAGGAGAGACTATTTTACGCATATTAAATTTAGCAAATACTTTGTGGTCCTGTATAGGCAACTAAGTAGTCCAGCTAGTTACATTAGTATCCGATATTGGTTTTGCTTATTATATATCATATTATGTTCTTCATCAGTAGTGATTTATCTTGACTGTACTAATACTGAAGCAACTCCAAGCACCCATCGCATACACTCAAGAAGATGTATAGTTAGGCGCCGGCCTGCTGAATGCGGAACCCATGCTGCAAAGTTCTAGGACTAGAGCTCTCTCCACAGTAGTTCCATAGCCTTAAGGCCTATAAATCATGGAATAGTATACAGTCGATTAGCCACCTTACCAGAGCCAAGCAACTCAAGTCCCTTTGCGACATCTGCAAAAGGAATCTCCTCAATTTGCGGCTTCAAGTCCCCCAAAGCTAGCAATGCCAGCACCTCCCGAAACTCTGCAATGCTAGCGCTAGTTGAACCTTTGAGTGACACATTCTTGGTCACTAAGTCTGTGGTTGCAAATTGGACTGTTTGGCTCGCCAAACCAACTAGTACAACCGTGCCTCCAGGCCTGACAGCAGAGATAGCACCTTCAACTGTTTTCTGTGTGCCGGCGAAGTCGACGATGAGGTCGAAAGTCTTTTCTGAGAGGGCGTCTAGGCTTGTTGCACACTCGATGGCCCCAGCACCTCGAGCTTGGTCGAACTTTGTTTCGTTGATATCAACGCCGTATACTTTTGCCCCTTTCAAAGACGCAATGGCCAGGCCGTTTAGACCGAGGCCTCCTAAGCCAATGATAGCGACTGTTGAATGTGGGGTCACACCGCCCTCTGTGACAACTGCGTGGTAGGCTGTGGCAACGGAATCGGTGGCCACGGCAGCTTCGGGGAAACCGACATCCTCCGGGAGCTTTACCAGATTCTTAACGGGAGCCACAGCGAATTCGGCATAACCTCCATCGCACCCGACGCCGAGCGCCTCTTGGAAATTGCGCTCTTGAATAGGATGTCCTACGCAGGCGACGGCTACGCGGTCACCTACTTTGAAGGGAGTGGTCGAAGATGACTCTGCGGTGCCCAGCTCGACAATAACACCAGCAACCTCGTGGCCTAGGATCACGGGTAGCTTGCACATCCAAGCTGCTCCGCCGCCGTGCAGGACATGGGTATCTGAGTGGCAGAGACCTGCGGCTTTGACTTGTAGTAACACCTGGTCTACGCCGGGTTTGGGGACGGGAACATCTCGTAGTTGAAGGCCCTGTTCAACTCCGAGAAACTGGAATGCTTTCATATCGAACTAGCGATGGAGTGGGTATTTAAAGAAGTGGGAGTGCAGAAATTGAACAGCGATTAAAGCTGTCGCTTAGAGTGAGGTGATGGGTTTCGCATAATCCCATATTCCGATTTCTTATAATAATTAACGCTATGATTCGACATGACTCATAATGCATCTATAACTTAATTGAGTCATTGCGCTTAATGGAGCTTTGACCCTACAAAGTGGGCCTATACGCGAGCCCGTAACAAAACCTAGTGGTAGTCAAAGAAGTATCAACAAGATTTATAGCTAATAGCCTATATTTACTAATTCCAGCTCGCTTAGACACAGCGGTGAGATACGATGTGGCATGCGGCTTATCAAGCTTAAGCTAAATCCCCTCAGTAGCGTTATAGAAGTTTAGTGGCAAGCTTGCCAGTTCTGGTTTCTTCCGACGTATTCTTCCGATCCTGTCCCTGGCATGATCTTCCAGTTTTATCTCCCGTCGTATTCTTCCGGGCTAAGCTAAGTTCCCGAGAGCCACCAATGCAGAACAGGATATTGCCACTATAATGTATTAAGTACTTGTAGCAAGTATAAAGAACAGCCTGAAACAATATACAGTCTGTTATTAAATTCAAAAATACACCAGCACGATATCCTACTTTTCAAAAACTCTGTTTAACTCGCATCCTCAACTAACGAGACATCATGAACGCTCAATCTGCTCCAGTCATCGTCATAGGCGGCGGCATTGTTGGTGCCTCAATTACCTGGCATTTGGCCAAGGAAAAGAAGGAAGTCATTCTTATTGCAGAGACAGTCGGCGGCGTCGCGACCCCCAAGTCATTTTGCTGGCTCAACGCGGCTGGTACAACGGAAAAATTCTACTATGATTTCCGACGTCGCTCTATGGCACGCTGGGTTGAAATGGGCAAAGAGCTACCGGATCTCCCGATCCAGTGGGGTGGTGTCTTGGCTTGCGACAGAACTCCTGAAGAGCGCGAAGAATTCTACGAACGTCAGCGTCTCTGGGGCACAAACATTACGCGTCTGGAACAAACTGACCTTGCTGGACTTGAGTCGCAAGTCTATGAGGCCCAATTCTCCTTGGTGAAATGGGGCCTTCATGTTCCTGAAGAGGGAACTATCGAAGCATACGCCGCTGCAGCGAAGCTCATTGCTCACGCCCAATCTCTCGGCACTAAGGTGCTCAAAGAGAGTGTTACTGGATTTCTGAAGAACGACAAAGGGCGAGTCTCAGGCGTAGTAACGGGCTCTGGGCACGTGAGTGGCAGCCACGTCATTCTGGCTGCTGGTCTTGGAAGTGTTCCATTGTTGGCAACAGAGAACATCAAGCTTCCTTTGACTGGTCGCGAGGGTCTCCTTGCTAACACCGCACCGACTAAAAAGCGATACCTGAATACCTTGCTCCGCTTGCCAGGCTTGCATATGCGCCAGGCCCTCGATGGGCGCATTGTTTTCGGCGCGTCCTTCGCTGGCGGACAGCCCGGCGATGACCCGCAAGCAACAGCAGAGGATCTTTTCAACCAGGTACAAAAGACATTCAAGGATGGAAACAAGCTTGAGTTTGGTCATTATACTGTAGGTGTACGACCTGACCCGGAGGATGGCTATCCCATTCTCGGTTCCACGGGCTTGGAAGGGCTTGACCTGGCTGTGATGCACTCTGGCGTGACGAATGCTGCGCTGGTTGGCGAGCTCCTAGCCAAGAAGATTCTCTACGGCATCGAAGATCAAATGCTCAAGGACTATCGTATAGATCGGTTTAAGAGTTATGCAAAACTCTAAGCTCCCAGAACGACATAATTCAATGATCTAGAAAGCTTTGCAGCTACCGTTCATTGACATTACAATATTGTATAGTTTATATAGCCCTCAAATCAGCACACCATTATTCAAGATATCCAGAATTGTAGTTTGTAAGGACAATGTACATAGAAGTGTTCTTTAAGCCAGACGTTGCGAAAATGTTTACTAGCTTCTGGACCACAGATGAATACTTCAACGAGGGTTCCATTTATAATAGCCTTTGTTTTTAACATACAAGACAATTATACATCCTACATAATCATGTTTCCTAAGGCCCTCTTTAACACACCCTTATATATTCTCTCAATGTGAAAACTCAGCGTCCTCAGAACGCATTCAAATATTTGCAATCCCAAATAAGCTGCTTGCAGCCCCACAAACACTAATAACGCCGTCACTGAAATTAAAGATCTTGGCAGCAGAACATGCAATAGGCAAGTCAAACAAGGCGGCCAAGAGTTGTAATGTGTTGGCCGCATGCTTGCTAAGGTAGAATATGATGTCAATACACAAGTCTAGTACAATAGCCTCTCAACTGTGCTGACTGCTATGTATAGGGTACTTACAGATGGAGGATCTTCGCACTATTAGAGGCTTGCTTAGTATCCGGAAGATGCTTTAGGTTGTAGAAGAAATACAATTGAGCGACGAGACCGCAAATGATGGCACCAAGCCACAGCCGTGATGCCTCAACTTGGATTCGCCTCGCAGTTTTCCAAGGATAGACTCCAAGACTATCAAGAACTGTGACATTATCCAAAGTTATATAACCGGCAAGCAGAAGCTGGCGAAGAGACAAAATATGTTGTAAGAAGTGGTCAGCTGTATCAATCGTGATAATATTAACTGCAGCTTGGACGTATTCCGGTGCCTTGCCAACACGGAGAAGTTTACGTGTTGAATTGAGGTGTCTTACGAGCTTTCTCCATTGCTCTAAATTGAGCTGTGATGAACGCTTGTTGTTGAGCAAGAACCGAATTTGTAACCGAGTAAGATATTGTACAAGACGGATGAGTTTGTCCCGACCGGCAAGCGTAGAGCTGATTTTCATCAGATGCATCACCCATAGACGAAAGCCGATTTTGTTCACCATTGTAGCAATCCTGAGCAAATACCCGATGCAGAAGGATTCGATGAATTGTAAGAGAAAGAGAAACAAGTGAACCTTAGCATACATAGAGATAACGTGCCCATAATTAATTATACCAATCAATGGATATGCCGCTATGTCATTAGCCGCAGTGGGATGCTACCGGGCAGATTCCGAGGACTGCCAGGAATACCAAATTGAAGTGGAGTAGACTGTCAATGGGTTCGGCTTTGTAGGATGGCCGCTCGGAAGAATACGAAGAATCAGTAGTTCAACCGACTGCAGCAGCCAACTCTCTTGGCTCCCGCAGACATCAACAAGGTGGTCCGAATGGCCTATGCCGACAGAACCGTTAAATCATGTAATAAACATTGTAGTATCATAATAACACCTGAGACTTTCCTTCCTTATCAATTAATCTGTGTCGTTAAATCGCCAATGAAGCCTGCCAAAAGTCCATCGACCCCTTCCAGAACTCCGGCATTTGCCATATCATTAATCCAGTGACCCCATGTATCTGGCTCTCTAGTTTCAGCCACACTAGGAGGAGGAAAAGATGCCTGCACAGCGCGGCTCTTGTTGAATACCATTGCGATGACACGACTCGCTAGAGCTTCAAACGTATCACGATATGGGGCAGCAGCTTGCCAGCCCTCGGCGATCGCCACCAAAACCATTGTACAATCAGTACATGTCTTGCTGACATCTTCTGGTCGAACTGACTCCCATGCTGCCGGTGACGTGCATAAGCAATGCAAGTAAGTCAATCCTGCTAAGAACAGACAGTGCAGAGTACCCCATGTGTACCTTATAGCCGTGCCTATGTACAGCCGACGATATGTTTGGCAGATGTTTCTCGACGCCTCGATGCAGTCCTCGAAGATCTTCTGGAGTGATTCTTTATACTCTACAAGCTGACCCCTGTAGAGAAGAAGTATTGTGTGGCTGTAATTGGTTTCATACCATGCTTTTTTGGCAAATATAGACAAGTCATCACTTTCATGGGGTCGTGCTTGAGGGGCATTTGTCAACCACGTGTCCAGGTCTACTCATAGCTGTTCGATTCGAGCATGGTACGTATGATCGTCAATGCTTAGGCGTACGGTGTCTGAAAACAGTGATGTATGTATGCGAGCCCAGAGATGACGTAACTTGAATACGTGAATGGCAGTAGACATCGATGTTGTTGGCTGGTTGGAATGGTTTCTTGGAGAGTCCAAGATACCAGTGTCAGTGATAGCAGAGTCATCCACGTCTGACGGGAACTGCAGGTGTTTCATCAGTATGCTGAGGTAATAAAGTATTAATTGGAGATTTAGTACCTCGGCATCGATTTCTTGAGGTGGAATACCCAAAGGCCGCCCCAGCCGTACAGCAACAGTGCAGTCTATACCCTGGGCGACCCAGAAAACTCTCTTGCGCATCTCTTGTTGGAGTAAGTTCGCGGCGGGTGCAAACTGCTTAACTCCGCGATGATACCCTAATTCAATGCACTGTCGTAGTGCCAGACCAGAGATTTTCCTAAACCTGGATTCAACATCGTCCCGCCAGAGTACATGGGTAGTCCTACCATAAAGATGGTCCTTCAAGGGAGCGGAGAGAGTACATAGCGTAGCACAACAGAGCTTGAATGGATTCAATATTATCCTTCGATAGTACATCGGTATATAGTTGAGCAGATATGTAAAGTTGCTATAGAAAACCAAATTAACCACTACTTGACGCCATTGGGGAGGGTAAAGCATAACTTACGCCGGCTAAGGACTGAGTGTTTGGTAAGAGTAGCGCAGCGACAGCATATACCTGGAACGTGAGGGCTCGTCAGTACTGTAATCTAACGGATTACGACGGACAAGAGGCTACGACTTACCATATTGAGAAAGAATAGCGGTGTGAAAGAGAACCCAGTCTCAGTAAAGTCTTGCGACGAATCATAGAGCATTGCCTCCCAAGTTCTAAAAGTCGGTTCATGTAGGAATGGATACTGGGGATGGATATGTTTGAAGTAGGCATCACTCAGCTTAACGGCGACGTCATAGTCTGGTAGCAAGCATGGAGACGGCGAGCTGCGCCTATCGCTGAGGTGAGCCAGGGTAGGCGCAGTGGGGAGGTTGCTACTGAGAGAAAGGTTAATGATGCGGGAGAATGCAAATGAAGATGATGAGCCTAGGTACTGCGGCTCCGTCTGTGTGGTGCGGAAGTCCAGCATGCCCACTCTGGAAGACAAGTCGCTGGTCCCATCTCGACCCTCGGGTGTATAAGGGATCGATGACGTGCTCTCGTCGTTGCTTGCTGCAGCTGACGTGGATTGAGGTGGAGTAGCGTTATCGTGACTCTGGAGGCCGGCGACACGTCCCTCCAGCATCTCAAGATAATTTCGAGGTCGTGATTTTTTGGATTGTGGATCCAGGACCAAGCAAGCTGTTGCCATCAGTTAGCCACTATTCGAGCTCTTGTCCTCTTGGAAAACGCTCACTTATGCTCAGCCGCTCGCAGTTAGCACAGCTCGGGACTCTATCATCGCACTACGGCGTTTCAGCATCATCATACCTGTCACCAATGCAAACCACAGTCGAAATACCTTGAGTTTCTTATCTTTACAGTGGAGGCAAGCCTGGTGTGCTCTGCTACCAGGGACACGGCGTCGCCTGAAAGCCCCAGGCCGCCGGTTTCTGTTTGCGATCTGTTGCATTTCAACCCAGGCTGGACATTCTTTGGTTGAATGTGTTTAGTCTAACATTTGGGGAAGGGAGGTAACCAAGGTTGAGGCTGAGTGTAAATCCGGTAGTTTCCGGACGAAGTCTACATTTCGAGCTATTTTAACCGCTTCCGATTGGCGCTCGTATTCTTCCGGGCATTCCTCGGTAGCGTAGGGTAATCTAGCCGTTGACGGACCCTTTCCAATCAGACTATCATACAAACCCACACAGACTTATTGCTTGACATGGCTAAGATAACGGTACAGAGTATCAGGCTATAATAGAAGTTCATGTTCCCCCGCATGTTCATCCCGTTTCCTTCAAGCACCTTATCAGCATTGCATTCATACGTCACAAGACATGACTATCACAAAGATCTTCACCGAGTCAGTTCTCGCAAAGTATGCTCGAACCATAAAAGCAACTCCGCGGGACCTAATCGTCAATCGAACACTGCTCTTCTCATGTGCAGTCTATGCCCTGGCTGGTCTTCCAACAAGTAAGTTTCACCGTCATATAATGTTTCTTCTAGGGTTATGAGGCTGACGATATCAAGCCTGGGACCAGGGATCTTCTTCTGTCGTTCCATCGCTGCCAGGCTTCCAGAAGCAATTTAACATCGAATCAGGGGCCAAGGCCGATGATATTCAAGACTTCATCTCGATTATTTACATTGGATATGCCGTTGGTGCTGCATTATCCTTCTTTATCAATGATCGCATTGGCCGTCGCTGGTCGTTTCGTTTGTACTCAGCTATTTGGATCATCGGTCAACTCATCGCGACTCTTTCACCCGGCTGGCCTGCCTTGTATACGGCACGAATTATATCTGGCATTGGAATCGGCTCCCTCAGCGTCACTGGACCAATGTCAATCGTCGAACTCGCACCGAGCGAGATCCGGGGCCTGCTTACAGCTTGGTATACAGTTGTAATGGGGACCGCCTTGTTCACCTCGATCTTTTGCGTATATGGAATATTCTTAGATATGTCCTCCAGCAAGCTGCAATACCAGATAGTCTGGTTCTCGCCGGCTATTTTTATGGCTTTGGCTATTGTTGCTAGCTTCTTTGTTAGTGAATCTCCCCGGTGGCTCATGATGGTTGGTAAGCGAGAAGAAGCTGCCGCCGTACTGGTGGACCTACGACGTCTGCCAGCAGACCACCCTCGACTACAGAAGGAAATTAAGGACATCGAGGACTCAGTCACTGGAATCGGATCCAGCTTCGCGGGAATAGTTAAGGAGACGTTCACCGTCCCCTCTAACCTACGCCGCCTCCAACAAGCTCTGCTTTCCTATGCGCTGGCTCAACTCTCAGGTGCTAATTCAGTCACATCGTATTTTATCCCTATTATGAGCATCATGGGCATAGGAGGAGGTACATCCCAGAGTATGTTCTTGAGCGGCATGTACGGCTTCTCCAAGTTCATCTTTAGTCTTATCGCATCTTTCTTCTTTATTGATGCCCTTGGAAGACGCCGATCTCTATTCATCGGTATAACACTTCAACTTATCTCACACGTCTACATCGGAGTCTTTATTAAGTATCATCAAGAAGGTCATATATCCTCCTCTGCATCTCAAGCCGCTATCGCCGCTGTTTTCTTCCACGCTTTTGGGTATGCTGTTGGTAGGTCTCCTTAATTAAAACCGTAGGATAACAGTGACTAACCGCGTGTTGTAGGTCTTTTTGTTCTTCCTTATATCTTTGGAGGAGAGCTCTGGCCTAACCGTCTTCGCTCTTTCGGTGGAGCTATTAGCCAAACCTTCCACTGGCTCTTCATTTACGCCGTCAAATATAGTATTCCCTCGCTTCTCAAGACAACAAATAACTGGGGAGCATTTCTCTTCTTTGCTGGTTGGTGCTTTCTTGCGTTGATATATGTTTTCTTTATGGTTCCAGAGATCTCGGGCCTCAGCGTTGAGGAAATTGATTATCTATTCAAGGGTTCTTGGTTTAATGCTTATAAACGCGCTCGACGACATCCTGTCATTGACAGCGTTGAGGCTGGAAAAAATAAGTCCGTTATGGAACCGGATAGTAAGAACCTAGTGCCTTAGCTGAGTCTGGTTAAGGGCAATGAGCTTGATGAGTCTATGAGGACATCCAAATAGGCTAACTAGTTATGCCAATATCTGCAATAGATTTTACGCATTAAATGAATTGCACTATGCTACCTGTTTATAGCGATGTGTCTTAAGTGTATTGTTCTTTCACGAACAGCTAAGTGCCAATCTCAAACACTTATGAAGATTTCTAGTTAGGCATAAGCCTGCAGGGGACATTAACCGTTATAAGCATTCTTTGCAATTAGCGGGGCGGAGGGCGAGCCGTGTTTTATCCGAGCTCTTTGGGGTTTAAGCTTCTTGTCATTTTATTTCATATCCAATAGGTCATCATGCTAAAGAAAGGCTGCTACTATTCCGAAATGAATCTGCCTATGGTATTAAACCAGTCCCGTTAAATTATTCTATCCCAAAAGTCCTCTTAAATACAATTGACGCGCGTTATCGCAGGACGCAATGGCGAGGGAGGATCAGTTGTAAGAAGCCTTGTAGTAGAGTCGAAGGATGCAGTTATTATCTTTGGTTTTGGTATGGGTGCTTAATAATTCAGCTCCTTAAAAACAATTATTGACACGCGTATAGCCTTAGTAAGATGGTCTTTTGGTTTCTATATTTAAGTTCACGCGTACAGGAGCAATTCCGCAGCTAAGTTCTCAAACTCCGCAGCCATGGGCTCAAAATCCGCACCTAACGCGGCCAAGCCTATAAAGATCGACCCTGTGCATCAAGCTGAACCCTAGCAGCATTGCTGTTAAAGTATACCACCTGTGGCTATATATGTTGCTCATGTCACGATTCATGTTCATCCATCATCTTCCATTGTCTCAGTCTCATATTTCCTGCTTACAAAATGGCTCATCTGCAGAGCCCCTCAGTCCTCATCGTCGGCGCCGGCTCAGTGGGGCTCGTCACGGGCTACTATTTAAGCCTTGCCGGCGCCCAGGTCACGTACCTTGTTCGCCCAAAGCGCGCCGAGGTGCTCAAACGGACTCAGTTCCTATACTCGTTTGACAAGAATCATCTCCACGAATTCAAGAGCTACTCTTATTTGACAAGCCCATCCACGATACTCTCCTCAACCTACGATTACATACTTGTTACACTGGATGGAAAGTCCGTGCAAAGCGAAGAGGGTGAAACCCTTGTCAAGATAATTGGCCAGGCAGCCCGTGATAAAACTACTAAAGTCATTATTGGTAGCGTTTTCTTAGGCGCCAGAGATTGGTTTCTAGAGAAATCTGGTCTACCAGGTGATCAGGTTACCAGCGGTGGCCTAGGCTTCCCAGCATACTCTGGCAAGACCACGAACCTCCCTGTCCATCCCCCGGCTGATGTTGATTTGGTAAAGAAATCCGATGTGGCATATATGGATAACATCGGTAATGGTTTTATCCTGGATGATTACGTTCCCTCGATTTCGAGCAGCTTTTCTGAGCTTTATAATGCTTGCGGAGTCTCCAATTGCGTTGTATGGTCACCGGCACAGTCTGCTCTTACCATATTTCCCCTATTTGCCGTTTTCATCGGGCTAGAACTTCTGGGTTGGCCCAAGACTGAAGACATCGATACTGAATCAGAAGTGTGGAAGTTGACGACAGCGGCAGCAAAGGAGATCCAGACACTTGATATATGTGGAGAGGCAGGGACTCAGGCGGCCCTCGCTACGACGGAGAGTACGTTTGTCCAGATGTCTGCATATCTCGACGAGAAGCTTCGCCCTTTAGATTACCACGCTTTCAACCGATATCATCATGGAGGAAAGGTTATAGAGCAGGATCGTATGCACATTGAGCGCTGTATCTCGCAGGGAGTTACTGAAGGCAAGCCAATGTCTGCACTTAAGACTCTCCTACAACGTATCAACCACTGAGATTGAATTCAAATTAGTGTAGCGGTGAAGGAGATAGGTTCTTGGTCGGTCTGATGTTTTCTCGCTTGGGCAGTTATTTTTCTGTATGTCTTGGTTGATAATCTTGACTTGAAGTAGACGTGCTGGTAGTATATAGACTTGGGTTTTGTTTATTAAGTAACTGGCTGGAGGCATCTCCATCGTTCTTCGTATGGCCAGGAAAGGAACTTTTCATTATCCGAATATAAACGCAGTTCCACCAGGAAGGGGTTCACGGTGCGTAATATAGGTATCGAGGAGCGACGAGGGCAAAGGAGATGACTCTGGCATTCGCAGGAGGTCTAGAAGTGAGGGTGAGAAGTTGACATGACGATGATAATGAGGAGTTATCTATTAGGAAACATGGCGGAGGAATAATGGTTCATATCTGCAAATTTTACTTCAGCTAAATAATAAGGCTCGCTGCCATGTTTCCCTTCCCCTTTGAACCTGGCATAATCTGATGAACTATAAGCGCTACTATGTAAAATATCCTCGCAAAGCACTTAAGCGCCTCCGTCTTACAGGAATATATAGGGCTACATAGATAAAACACCAGAGCCTAATTAGAGTCCTCCATTAGAGCTGCTGTCCTTGTTTTCTTGTGGCATAGAAAACACTGGAGATAACAGAGGGTAATGCAAATGCCAACTAGGAAGAGAGCCTCAGTGTACGCAACAAAATGCCATAGGCCGGTCACAGAAGGGATATTTCCGTTGGCGAATCAAGACCCCAGTTAACTTGACTTGCATTCGTGGTAAGGCTTCCTGGGGGAAATGATAAAAAGTTACCCCTAGATGGGTTAATCGCCAGCGAAATTTGGTGTCAGCCAGGATCGTTTATTTTTCTGTCCAAGGGGCTTCCTCCCTACACGCTGAGTGGTAGTCAGGGATCGACATAATCTTCAGTATATGGCCACTAACTCCAGGCGCCTAGAGATAGTCGCCCGTTGTATAAGAGCATTCTGGTCATATCCCCGAATCGAGTTGGTTATCTGACAAGGAACAGGCACTGTGAAACGGACCGAATATCGAAGCAACAAGGCATGCTGATTGGCCGGTGAAGTTTTATTTTATAGTAAGGGTAAAACTGATTGCTTCTTTATATTAATTATAAGTTCTTGGCTATAGTTGCCTGTTTTACTATATATAGTACCACGGGTTCCTATATAGCTGTTGAAAACAATATTACACCTTATTCTACACTTATGGCTTCAACCGTCGGACAAGAATATGCATAACAATGTAAACGCAAACACCAAAGCCCAACATACCAGAAATAACACCAAAGCCCATAAGATACTTTGGAGCATCATCAGAGGGGAACAAGTACGCGCCGTAGATTTGCGCAAGGTTACCTAGAGCGTTCATAAGCGCTAGCGCGACAGCTCGAACCTCGGCATCCATAGACCCGAAGGTTGAGGCCGCAAAGCTCAGGGATATGGCATTGGATGCCCAGAGTCCTGCAGCCATAAGAACAAGTAGCGCATACCGGGCGGTGAAATTGTAGACGACACAAACTGCAATGGATGTTATCATTGAGAAGCTGAGCCATCCGGCGATGATGAGACCGCGATAATTTGAGATCCTGTCAGCGAAGTAGCCGCTAACGGCGGTGCACACGAATGCAACGGCGTAGATGGGAACCTAGTTCAAGGCTGGTTAGCTTATCTGTAACCTTGCCTCGGCCCTTCAATATCCTCTTACCGTCATGTACTGCGCTTGAACAGTGCTGCTGTAGCCAAGGCCGTGGACTAGGGTCGGGTAAAAGTAGGAAAGGGTCGAGGATCCGACAATGACCTGGATAGAGTCAGCAGGTGTCAATGGCCAAGGCATTGTAACTGGAAGAGTGTACCATGTAGCCAAAGATGAAACCCCATGTCCGCCAGTCTCGCAACGCGAGGATAAGCGACTGCATCTTGCCGACCTTTTCTCCCTGGCCCCTTACGGTAACACTATCCTCCTGAAGTCTGGCAATGGCGATAGCTCGCTCACGGTCTGTAAGGTGCCTGGTATTGGCCGGAAAGTCAAGAAGCAGAAACGCGGCAATGATAGCCCAACCAATGGTGGCCACCCCCTCGACGATGAAAAGCCAGCGCCACCCCCGAATCCCATGGGCGCCCTCGAGGCCACCGGTAATAGCGCCTGCGAGAAGACCACCAAAGGCCCCGGACAGGATGGCAGCGGACATGAAGACGGCAAATCGCTTTGACTGCTCGGTTCGCTTATACCAGGACGAAAAGATGAGGAGGATGCCGGGGGCGAAGCCTGATTCCATGACGCCGACAAAGACTCGGAGGATGATGAGATGATGGTAGCTCTGGACGACAGACATGATGCATGTGAGAACGCCCCAGACAATCATGATGGCAGGAAGGTATAGCGACGGGCGAGTTCGAACCAGGATCATGTTGGACGGCGGTTCAAAGATGACATAACCAACTGAGGTTGTTAGCTGATTGGCCTTGGAGTGATGAGTGTGAGAGAACTCGGTTACCGAAGAAGACGACAAGAATAATGCTGTACTGGGACGAGGTGAGTTCAAGATCATCTGCCATGCCGGCGATCTTTGCGTTTCCGATGCTGCAACATCCTTAGAGCCACTCGTATCGCTAAATGGGGCTGACTCACTTAGTTCGGTCCATGTAAGAGAGCAAGTACATGAGCCAAATATTCGGCAAGAGAAACAGGTCGATCTTACGGACGAGCTTCTTTTCCTCTTCCGCGGTCCAGCTGATGGTTTGGGTTATTTCGACATGCTCGGCGACTCGACCGGGGCTATCCAGAAAGTCTTTCTGGTCGACAGCCTCGGTACTAGTTTTGTATGCCGCCATGTTACCGGATTTGAACTGTTGTGGGAACCAAGATGGCGCAATCAAATGCTTTTCTATCAAGTTGTTGTCGAGTAGATGAGTGATTGATTTCATTGGATCACGATGAGAGTCGTCGTGGCATCTAGCAGACTTATAGAACACTCCACAGAACAAAAATTGTTTTTGACCTCAACAACGGACATGGCCGTTGAGAGGGGCCATCAACTGTGCGGGGACGGGTGACTAATTCCCCATGGGGTATGGAGTAGTCTAATCTCACTAACGGAAGTGATGGAGATCAGGGATGCATGGCGTCGAGGCGAACGCGGCCTCGAAGCGAGCATGGATGGCCTCGTTACGAGGGTCACGCATGCCAAGCCCACGCAATGATTGTAACCTTAGCTCGTCTCGGTGGCCTCGCGTTTTGAGTGTTTTGAGCCTATCTCCATCGGGACGCTTGGCCAATTCATCGTTCCTGTGGCAAGGTTGCCATTCTATTCTGGGCATAAGAACAAGACGCGTAGCATTCTGTCTACTTGACCGAGTTCTATCAAGCATCAGAGACCATCCTACTACTCGTAAAATACAGACTACTTCCCCCTAGTTGAAGCCAATTTTACGAGTCTTGAACAAACTACCTACACATAAACACAATCTTTACAATGTCTCCCAGCGCGCTCGATACCCCTACCGCCGTCCCTGCCAACGGCGACACCGCTGCAGCACCAGCATCAATACCAGACGCAGCTGCCGAGACCTCACCGACATTTCTGAGCACCCAGCCAGGCCCTGACCACCACTGGAGAGTCACATTGAAGGATAAGGTCATCGCCATCACCGGCGCCAACAGGGGCATTGGTCTAGGCATCGCAGAGGTCTGTCTAGCCAACGACGCTGCCGCCGTCTTTAGCCTGGACCTTTTCGAGCCCGGCGACGAGTTTCTCGCCTTGCAGGCCGCGAACCCGAAGCGACTCGGTTATATCCACTGCGATGTCACCTCTGAGGAGAGCATTACATCAGCTATTGATGCTATCATCTCCAAGCGGGGCGCCATCCACGGCCTCGTCGCCAACGCCGGCATGACGAAGCATCAGCCGGCGCTCGACTTTGACCGCGCCCAGCTAGACAAGCTGTTTAGCCTTAATGTGTTTGGTGCATACTTCTGCGCTACGACTGTCGCACGGCGATTCATCGAATTGGGCATCAAGGGCTCCATCGTCTTCACTGCGTCCATGACCTCGTACCGTCCCAACCGTGCAGCACCCTCGGCCCCCTACGGAGCCACCAAGGGTGCTGTGCGGAATATGGCACATACGCTGGCCATGGAGTGGGCTAAGCACGGTATCCGTGTTAACTCTATCTCACCCGGCTTCGTTAAGACGGCTATGACATACTTTGTAGACCAGGCGCCTGATTGGGATCTCAAAATGCAGTATTATGGCGGTATGCCGAGGCTGGCTGATCCGAAAGAGCTCGGGGGTGCATATGTATACTTACTCTCTGATGGGGCTTCATATACGACCGGCATTGATATCCCGGTTGCTGGCATTGTCGGGGCTTGGTAAAAGGTTACAAGCACGTTTTGGTGATGTATCTATTTCTATGCACGGTAACAATAGAAGCGTGAGATGAACGCATTTTCCCCAGTTTAACCAGATTCGTCGTCTACTCTGTTTGAACGTGAAGGGCTTGGTCGATCGGCGATGACCAAGTCATTGGATTAGCTGAAAGTCAAGATACATCCAATCTGGACAAGAAAAGCTTCAAGTCAGCTTTGCAGTAGTCGCGAAGTAGCATCTTATTCTTGCCATACGCGCTTAAGATCTGCTACGAGCCCCGTAGCGGGAAACTTGCTAATCTCCAACATCCTGTCCAAAGTATCAAGGAGTTCCGCCTGCTTCTCTGGCATCTGAACGCACTGGCCGACTGGGCTGGTTAGTCAACGATTCATCAAAGGAAGTTGCCGCTTACCAGCAAATATGGCCTGGACATTGAGAAAGGCCATTGCAGGCTCGCCCCTTTGGCAGGCGTTTGCAATGCTGCAAACCATGTGGAGGCTTTCGTTGAGGCCTTTTTGACGCTGACGGTACGCGTTGAGGCCACCGGTTGAGGGCTGGTTCAGCAGTACGATGGCCTTGGAAAAGTGATACATCTGCATGGCGCCGGCGTGGTTCGGCGGGTGGAACCATACGGATCGGAACCTTGTCTGAGACTTGGAGGTTGAGGGTGCCCGGCTCATGGTGTCGTGTTCCGCTGTCACCATGACTGGCTTATACGAGCAAGGAAGGATACGATACCAATTTTCGAGGGCTTGAAGAAGTCTGTTACCATGCTCAATCTTCTGTTGTATATCTTGACTAGGTGAGGTCTTGTCCAGAGCGGCAAACTCGACGCACTTGGCACATATGTAGACCATCCTCGTGGCGAGCTCGTCAGAATCGAGATCCTCGAGTCTCTTCTTGGGGCGCCAGATAGTAAGAGTCGGCCTCCCTGCCCGGAACGCTGCCCAGATATCCTGTCTAAGCCACGCCCACCACACAGCTCGCCTCAATCCGTCGATGGACTCGCCATCGTTGTCTTGGGAACGTTGTATCCAGAAAGCACCTCGTAGGTGGCGTTCCCAGTTGCCGCTCGTCGAGGTGCCGCCAGCGTCAAACATTTCATATGTGCTGATCATTATGGCCGTGGCTAGAATCTCGTGGGATTCTGCATACGAAGGATAGAGTAGAGTCTGCGAAAGATACTGGAGGGTCTCGTAGTAGTACTGGGTGGCCATGTGCGCAGGTATTTGACTGTGTTCCGGGGATTGGCCACCGCCTGTTGTTGTCTCCGGCGACGATGAGTTGCTCTCGCTCGAGTTTCCGCCATGGCTCTGTGGCTGCCTGACTTTGACGCCAAGAGACATGTGTTTGGCTGCGACTGCAAGTATCGCCTTCAATAGTCCCGAATTGCGCAGCGCGAGGTGAGGTACGACATTGGTAAAATGACGCTCTTGATCAAACAGATCGAGAATCGGTCCAACAATGTCAGTGTAGTAACGAAAGAAGCCAAGGTCGGCTGGCGAGAGCTCGATGCTCTCAGTGGTGTTCCATGGTTTGTTGGCCGATTCGTGATCCACTAAGGGCACTCCAAGACCATTACCGCGACGGTCTTGTGCGTGGGAGTCGGTATCGGTAGATCTCGGGGCGGGTGACTGCCGTCGAGAGAGCGTGCTCTCATCAAAGTTCCATCGTGGTTCGCCATTCGAGGCATCGTTTAATCGTTGGATCTGGGAGATGGCATCCTGCGCTAACAGGTCGTACCATTCGAATGGCGAGATGTTGAGCAGCGAAACTTGGCTCCTGGCTAACGGAGACGCAGCGAAATCAAAGTCTACGTTGGGCAAACATCCATCATTACTCGTCTCTGACTGGTCATCCTGGGATATATTGATGGAGTCATGGAGCTGGAATGTAACGGAAGGTTCAACAAGGACTTGGAAGTTATCCTGGTAGCTGGCCGTTCCCTCGATGCTGGGTTGATTATTCTCAGCATCGCCCGTCTCTTGAGCAACGCTTAGGCCGCCGGTACTGCTGTTCCCGCTGCAAGATGCCTCAGGGTCTGCATCCTGGCGCAACTTCACTGCTTCGGAGATGTCCTGATCTGCTTGTACTAGGACACTCAGTTGCTGAGCATAACGGCAGTCTCGATCAGACTTGGAACACTGGACACATCTGGGCTTGCCTTCGTCACACTTGACGCGTCTTCTTCTACAGGTGAGGCTGTAGGGTAGTGTCAGCGGTTTCAAGGCCAGCCTTAGCCAGTCGAGTGGGAGTAAGTAAGTAAATACCTACCAGCCCGTCGAGGTTCTCAAACCGCGAGCCCGAGACGGTCGATTGCGGCGAAATCGTCTGGGGGCGTTGTTGGTGTCCATTGATGAAGGATGGATTATGGCAAACTGTCTGGGTCTCGTCTCGAGGGTATCAGCTCCATTTATTTACACGGCTTTAAAACGAGCTAGGTATAGCGTTGAATTTCCCCCGCATTTCTCCACTAAACCAATCTTACTAGATGGGAACAGTATTTAGCATGGGATGATGATAAAGAAATTAACAATCGAGGCCCTGGTCTAACCTCTAACCCGAGTTTCACTGCTTTGTGAATACAGTTATGATTAAATCTTGCCTGGCTAAGAGCCTCTCCCTCTTACACATTTAATCATAACCCAATTCCTTGTCACTCCCTTACACCATCACCGTTTAGCCCAATCGGGCAAGGAAAAACGGGCTTCACTGCCGCCAGAGCCAAATGAAAGACTTAAAGCACTTCGATATCTTTGCCCTTAAGTTGATATACAGGCGAAACAATTATGCAGGATAACGAACAAAACTGACCAACTCTCAATGCTCAAATCCAACTCCCAAGCTGCCATTGAGATCTCTAAAATCACCCCTCAGTATCTCAATCCCATCTCTTTTGACCTCCTCTACCAGATCCCTGATCTTAGTAGCAACATTATGAGGTTGAAATCCGAAATACTCATATGTCGCCTTGGATGGAAGGCTCTTTCCGAATCGCCTCATAGATATCGATGCATCAGCGTACCGCTCCCATCCAATCGCGGCATATGCCTCGATGACGACGGTAGCCTTTCCGGAGCGCGGCTTTAGCACCGACTGCTTGTACTGTCGCGATTGCTGCTCGAAGAGTCTAGGGCAGGGAAATGAAACCACTCTTGACTTGATGCCGTGCTCCTTAAGAAGCACATCCTTGGCCTGCATTGTCAGGCCCATCTCGGAACCGACTCCAATTAGCGTCACGTCAAAATCATCATCGTCAGCCTCGACAAAGACGTATGCGCCCACGCTCACGCCCTCACGCGAAGAGTGCTGCGGGAACTGTGTCAGGTTCTGTCGGGACAGAGAGATGATGGTTGGCGTCTCGGTGGCCTGGATAGCAGCTATGAAAGCACCTGCCACCTCCTCAGAGTCACATGGACGGATATACAAGGTATTTGGCATGGCGCGGTAGAGAGCTGGCAGGGCGATCGGCTGATGCGTCGGCCCATCCTCGCCGGTACCAATGCTATCGTGGGTAGCGATGTGAATCTGCTGGAGTCCCTGAAGGGCTGCCATTCGAACAGCTGGGGCGGCATAGAGGTAGAACATAAAGAATGAACTTGTCATAGGGATGAAGGCGCCCTTATTAAATGCAGCGAGGCCATTGGAGATGGCACACATGGCGTGCTCGCGGATGCCGTAGTGGATATAGCGGCCACTGTAGTTTCCGTTGAGACCGCAAGCGGTTCGCAGATCAGGCTACTGGTGCGTTAGTAATTGCAATCAATACTCTTTATTATTCTGCACTCACTGATTGGAAGTCGACCTTGTTGTTGAAAGCCACATGGCACGAAGGGGTCAGATCCGCGGTGCCGACCAAAAAGGACTTGATCCTCTCTCCGAGCATATTGGTCAGAATACCTGCAGACTTTCGCGATGCCGTGGGCTCAGTTGGAAGCTCTGACCTGCTAGGGATGCACTTTGTCCAGTCGTCGGGCATCTTTCCAGCGACGCGAAGCCCGAATTCCGTCCCAAGCACAGGATCCGCCTTCTTATACCTCTGAACAGTCTCCAGCCACTCGGCCTCGTAGGCATCGCCGCGGACACGGACATCTGCAAACAAGTCGTAGACATCTTGTGGGATGTGGAAATGCTCGTTGGAGTCCAGGCCGAACGACTTCTTGATGTTGGCCACGTCGTCGACCCCGAGGGCTGCTCCATGCGTTTTCGCGTTGCCGGCCGCGGCAGATCCGAAGCCGATAGTTGTGCGAATATTGATAAAGGTTGGCTTGTCGCTTGATCGGGCCGCGATAAGGGCGTTGACGATGGCTGGTCATCATGAGTTGAAGCGTATTCAAGGGGACACTTGCGAACGTACCGGTAACATCTGAGTCTCCGTCAAACACATCCAGCACATTCCATCCGGTAGCCTCCATCTTCGCATTGATATCCTCAGTATTGGCAACATCCGCCGTGCCATCACAAGTAATCGAGTTGTTGTCGTAAATAATGCAGAGGTTATTAAGCCTCCAATGACCAGCGAGGGAGACTGCCTCAAGCCCAACGCCCTCTTGAAGGCAGGCATCACCAATCATGCACCACGTCATGTTATTCACTAGCTCATACCCTGGCTTGTTGTATGTCGCGCCCAGGTTCTTGGTTGCCATGGCGAGACCAACGGCATTAGCGACTCCTTGGCCGAGGGGACCAGTGGTAACCTCAACGCCCTCGTTCTCAATCTCTGGATGGCCGGGGCAGAGGGAATCGGTCTTTGTTGAGTGATATGACTTGAGCTGCTCCAGGGTCATGCTCTTGACACCGACAAGGTGCATGAATAAATATTGCCACAGACAGGCATGTCCTTGATCTTGGTCAGAGCGTCTCGCCGTGAGTTTGTAGAGATTGACATACCATTGGACAGAACGAAACGGTCACGGTTGAAGTACTCGCAATTGTTGGGAGAGTACCTCATGACGTACTTGTAGAGGGCGATGCCAATGGCTGCCATGCCCATAGCGGATCTGAAGAGTCAGTGCCGAGAGCAGCATGAAACCGGAGCCATCTCTTACCCAGGGTGTCCACCATTGAACTGCTGGCAAAGGTCCGCGATGAAAGCTCTAAACACCTTCAAAACCCTGTCGTGTTTCTCTGGGCTCTCGAGGTTGAGGCCAGCAACGGTAGTGCTGCCATTGCTGGGGAGGGGCTTGACGACAATCTTGTCAACAGCAGCCCTCTCGTTGAGTTCTAGTGTTGGAGCCATGATGTACCAGTGAGTGGAAAGTGTTGTTTGGTGATATTGAGATGGGTTTATGAGTCGGGAGCTGGAAATTCATCGCCAGCTGCCAGCTTAGATATACTTGGACATTGTATCACAATCATTGTTCTGCAGTTGTGTAGTTGATGACCAGATTTACCAACTTCGAGACGACCCCGAATTCAGTTCCAATAGGATGTTCTGTTACCGTATACGAGTGCGAGGAGGTAGCGTGAGCAGCGTGAAAGGTAATGACCTCGCTTCGAGGTTATGATGCCCTCGTCTCGAGGACACAGCCCCACCCTCGGCTTATGCTACCACTCATTGAGGACAAGTAGTACGGAAACCCAGGGTGTTGATCCCTGTGAGTGTTATATCAGAAAGTAATTGGAGATTTTTAATGCCTAATCATTCTTTCACTCATCCGTGATCAAGAAGAAACAGCAGAAATGGATTCCTGGCTGGATGTTCAGAAGCAGAACCGCACCCTGCAAATCCTCCGCTCGGCGGCCGAGGGCAGGTATGGGGTCTTGGCTGTGATTTGGTGGGCAACCCTTATTCGGACTGAAATGGACTATTCTCATGCGCAATTTCCTTGTTCAGTTACAACATCGAGCACCTGACAGCGCTAGTTCGCGCTGCCGAAGCCAAGAGGTCACCTCTTATTCTTCTACTCTTCCCCTCAACTGTCAAACAGCTCCCGACGTTGGCATGGGCAGCAGCAGCAGCAGTCAAGTCAGCAACTGTACCGCTGTCGCTCCATCTAGACCATGCGCAGGACGAAGCGCAGATCCGAGAAATTGCTGCAACTTTGCCGTTTGATTCGATTATGGTGGACATGAGCCATTATGACCACGACGAGAACTTAGAAAAGACCAAGGTTTTGACGAGGATTTGCCATGGTCACGGCATCGCTGTTGAGGCTGAAAGTGGGCGCATCAATGGGGGAGAAGAGGGTATTGCGGACACGGGATCTCTGGAAGGTGAGTAAGGCGATACCAAGCCAATGCCTACACGGGGAAGCTTGAGACTGATGGCTTAACACAAGCACTCTTCACCACGCCTAGAGAGGTCGAAGACTTTCTAGCTGCCGAAATCGACCTTCTTGCGCCGAGCATAGGTAACATCCACGGCGACTACGGCCCAGCCGGGCCTCAGCTCGACTTTGGCCGACTGTCCAGCGTCAACACTCAGGTTAGCGGTCGCGTGATCTTGGCGCTCCACGGCACAAACGACTTTACGCCTGAGATCATGCAATGCTGCATCCAAAACGGTGCAATTAAATTAAACATCAATAAGCTTATCCTGGAGAGTTGGAATACTTATGTCAGAGAGCATTCTCAGGAGCCGCTGATGCAGCTCATGGATGGTGGTATGACTGTGCTCCAAGCCGAGGTTGAGCGGTGGATGGATATCTGTGGAAGTAGCGGGAAATCATAGAAGAAGGATTGAGATGTAAGTTCCACGGCAATAATGACTTCACACAATCAAGGTTATCTGTTGGCCTGACATCCGTGTTTGAATCAACATTGTGCACCTAATTATTCCTACTTGGCATGCATGTCGGTGTGAGACGTTAGTTAATAAAGTCCATACCCTGACTATCGCCAAACTCTGTGCTATTTCCCCTTCAACAGTGGCATCGACCAGACATCTCAGGGTTGAGCACCTTCAACTAGTTGAAACTGCTTCAAAAGAGCCATCTCAAAGCTTACAAGGGGACAAAGTGGGGCCAATTTTGACTCTTCCCGTTCGCATGAGCCAGGCTCCAGATTTAGCCCCCGAAGAGTACCTGCTGCTTCTCACCATCCCTGGTCGGTCATCAGTACGAGCTCAACTGCCGACCCGCCTCGTTGCGAGCCCACCTCGAAGCGAGGTCCGCCCCCTGCTTCTGTGTTGTTTTGATCACCTAAATTTACGAGTGTAAAGAAAGCAATTGGCACTTTGAAACTCAGAAGCGACAAGCGACGAGCCTGTCCACGGGGTGAACCAAAACGGCTTCATGGACAAGTGATACAAGAGGCTGTATAATGAATAGATAGATGAAGAAGCAGACCCACCGGATTATCAGTCTACCTTTGACTGCTGCTTTTTACCCCTACCCATAGTCCTCTTGTTTTCCAACCATGAACCCCATGATGCATCACACACCCGCCGAAGCCTCGGGTGACTCTCGGGCCAGTGGAAGCTCCTCTCATGAGCTTCAAAAGCTCGACAGAGTCTCGAAGCTGCTCGTAGGTTTCATCTCGCAGTTGAACAAAGAAGAATATGAGTAAGTCTCATCACAAAAGTAATAGCTTGGATGACAGTTATCTGAGCAGTCGTGTAGATCTTCCAGGCTCAAGGCTTCTATTGGAACTGCTCTCTTCAAGCACGTGATGAGATATGCACCAGAGAACAGTCACTACTTTAACCGGGATCGTTTAGTCGTGTCAGGACGTAGGTTTCGTTCCCAGTGCCTACCTAGCTATTTCTCTGTACCAACTCACATACCTGCCTACAGATTACGCTGGCAGATGGCAAGACTTGTTTGTGCATCTCATTGCAGCAAAGGGCATCGCCGTCGACCCATTAGGAGTTGCCAGCGTCTTTTCCAGAACAACAACTCTTCCGTGTCACTCAAATCAAGCAATCTCGAGTGCTATAGGTCAGGCAATTGCAATGAGAAACCTTACGATGCTCTACAACAAGCCAGGCCTGGAGCTGCTAGACAACATGATTTGGTGCGTCATCGACGATGCCAAGTTTCAGCAGGACAGTGCTCTTAATACAGTCGCTCTTGCCGGCAGTTGGAAGCTAAGTAATCTTTGTATTATTTACGATAGCATGTATGATCCAATGAGCGATAAGCTTGAAGTTAACAACCTCAAGACGCGTGGCTGGAATGTAATTGAACTAGTGAATGACGACGACCTCACTATCACCGGTGGGTTTTGCCAGTGTGTTTCCCGCAATTATTGAACCACTCTCTAATCCAAAACAAAGCTCTGTGTACGGCCCTCAGTACCTCAAGAAGAAGCAATGCGCCGACCTTGATCAGTGTCCAGTCGCCCAACAGCTCCTTGTCACACTGGCTACACTCTCATCCCAACAACAACACTCCGCTCTACCTCCCACCAGAACTTTACGACGTCTTCCAAGATGTTTTCAAGAAAAGCAACCTCTACGAGGCTGATTGGCTGGTGAGGGTGAAGAGATACCGGGAACTGTACCCAGCGCTCGCCAGGGAGTTCTGGAATCACGTTGCCGGCAAGCCAGCCACCATCACTCAACACCAAACTGCCCTCACTGGCCCAATAACTCCACCTCTATCGCCCTGGCCAGCTGAGCAGCCCTCTCGGAGAGGAGAACACAGCTCCCTCGGAAGAGACAAGTTTTCACCGCACCCAGACAGGCGTTCGAGGCCAGGTAGAACAAAGCCCGAAACCCTTCATATCCGCCCCTGCGACGCCGAAGAGGCTGCAGGTGCCTTTCTCGTGTCCATCAGATCGACCAAGTTACCAACAACTATTTCCTTACCACAGAATGGTGCCGCAAGCTTTCCTGATCACTCGTCTCGTCTAGGTGTGACACTTGGAGCTTACGCCTTCTCTAAATGTCACGACGAGGACTTTGACTTGACTCTCATAACCGCTGGTGTTGGGATTCACTATGCCATGGGCACGCAGGAGTTTCTCATAAGGGAGTATGGTCTGAAAGCTAGAATAGTGTCATGTCCCTGCCTTAGGCTTTTTCAGCTGCAGACAGAGGAGTACAGGAGATCTGTCCTTCAGGTGCAGAGCAGGAAACCGACGGTGGCAATTGACTTTGGGAATAGCCAGGGCTGGAAGCCTTATGCAGACGCGTTAGTGTTGTTGAAAGAAAGCGTGAATGTAGAAATAGAGGCCAATATGCCGAATAGGATTGGACCTAGGGTTAAAGACTTTGTTAAGGAGTTTAAAAAGAGAAATACTTGATAAGTTAAATTTATAAAAATATATCTTGTCTCTGCCCCGTGGCCATCGAACCCTATCACCTCCGATTTATATGCGCCTTTGACAGCCTCTCGGGTTTTCAAACCCTCTTTATGAATATTATTAACCTTACTGTCTAAGCTATTCCTCATTGTGATGTTTGAACCGTACTTCCATTGACTCTATTGCTGCCTATCGCCATTATTCTTCGTGCTAGCCTGCAGACTAACATCACTTGGTAGTGTTGAGGCCAAGACGGAGTACCTAAATTATCTTATCAGCAATCTCTGCTTTTATTTTATCAACATGCGCCTTTTTTTCCTTACCTAGATGCGTTTGAACCACGCTGGCTTGACTAGGACAAGGATTATATTTTCGTTCCTAGTGGGAATTGTAGGTTCCTTTGCCGTAATGCCTGCAATGCGTATTTCTTCAAGCACTCGATCGATGTCGGGTGTCGCCTTTCCAAGCCAGATTATCACTCAAGTTGCCTTAACATAGATCTTTGCCATAAATTGAACTTAATATCCTTTTCACTTTATATCTTATTAATTAACGCATATAGCGTCTATCTATAGAGTTCGTTTAACAGACCAATCTCGAAGATATAATAGCGCAGCAAAGAGATTTTCCTCAATTAGCAGGTAGCATCCGTTTATTAAAATAGACTCAGGATTGTAGCCAAAGCCCCAGACATACGACAGAGCCTCATATAGACGACTGCTTCCTGAGTTCTCTAGGGCGCAGTCGAATAGTTGACATTGGATAGGGGCATGCTCGTCTTGATGCAGCAATAGACGAAGTAAGCGAATACTGTTGTCTAGTAGATAAGCGTAACGGTGGAGGGGGCTGTAGAATAGACATAGCTCGAGCTACGACATGACTTTAAGCTTACAATAAGGCAAACCCAACCTCTGTTTACGTGGCTACCATCTTGGCACAACCTCTGATTGCCCAGTGTTACAAAGCGCGGGCGTGTAATATGCCAAACTACCAATCGCTCTGCGGTACTAAGCGCCATAGAAACTACTTATGTATTGACTTTACATCTTTATGGAGACTTGCATGAAATCCATGAATATTCAGTTGTGACTTACACAGCAAATATAAGTAAACAGAAGCAGCTGAGATTTCTGTGAGAACTAATAGAGACTTTAACAAGAGCCGAAGTATGGCATCTTGCAGGGAGTTAAGACTCTACTGTAATGTATCGAGTACTAAGATTAATCTTTTAACCAGTATAGTATCCTGTCGGATGGTTGCCCCGGCTCCACAATAATAAGAGTCTGGCCAGTGTTGCAACATGGGGTGCATCCGGAGGCGGAGCAGTTCCGACTTTTGAAATGCGGTAGTTTCTTTATAAGAGATGTCTATAAATGAATGAATGAATACTTTGTGTTGGTGGCCATGACTTAAGAAATTCACAGATTTACAATTTTTACCCTTATGTTGCGCTACTTCACAATGTTATCGCTCCCAAGAGAGGGATTCACAATTGACTTCGTGGCCAAGTTAGTCCGATGCACCATCCTGAATCCTGCCATAATTATTTTGCTGGCCATAGGCTCATACTTTGCATCATCCAATTTAAACTGGAATCACAGATCAGACGCACTTGGATTACACATCTACTACCTAACTGCCTTTGGCCTTCTTTTGCATCTGACTGACTTTTTGAACACACGATACAACAATAACTGGACCACCGACCCAGGGTGGGACTGGAACAACGAGATTGTTGTCATCACAGGAGGCAGCAGTGGAATTGGAGCCCATCTTGCTCAAAATTTGCATTCTCGGAATCCAAACACCAAGGTCATTATCATCGATTATGTCCCATTGACCTGGGAACCACTTGAAGATGCATACACAAAGTACTACCAATGCGACCTCAGTAACAGCTCCCAGATTCGCCTCATCTGTGAACAAATTCGAGCTGAAGTCGGCCACCCTACAGTTCTTGTCAACAACGCCGGTATCTGTCGAGGTGCTACTGTCTGCGATGGTTCATACGCGGATGTAGAGACTACCATGCGGACAAACCTCATCGCACCATTCTTGCTGGTCAAGGAATTTGGGCCAGAAATGGTGCGTCGAAATCACGGCCATATAATCAATATCAGTTCAATGAGTGCGTTTCTCCCGCCTGCTAAAGTGGCCGACTACGCCGCTACCAAGGCTGGGTTGATAGCCTTGCATGAGGTGAGTCTACGATACATTTGTATGGCGGTTTTAAGCACGGTCTTACACTCTTAGGCGCTTCAACTTGAGTTGAAGGAATCTCCACGGGTCAGACTCTCACTATTAGTTCTAAGTTTTACCCGCACTCCTTTGTTCAAGGGAGAGACAAATCAGTCCAATTTCTTGTTCCCACTATTGCATGTTGAGTCCGTCAGCGAGACGATTGCGAAAACGCTGTGGACCGGCTACGGCAAGACAATTTACATGCCCGGAATCATGCGTTACATCACGATCCTAGTAAGTTGATTGCTTCTGTTGATTGAAGTCATATTGATCTTTGAGGAATAGAAGGGCGGACCGGAATGGCTGTGGCTCTTAGCAAGGAAAGGAACTGGCAGTACCCGGGTTGATTTCAGAGGAAGACAGAAACTGGATCCCAAGACAGGTTCATTGCTTTAGCTTTGAACGGGTCAAAACAGCCATTCTGTCAAGTGGACGAAGCATGATTACGAAAGTATTTCAGTCAGTTTATGACCTCCCAGTTACACTTGCCTTCACTAAGTAGACAGGCCTTAGCAGCAGAGGTCAACAGGGGTCGTCCATCAGCACGGAGGAGGACTGTTGCATGGAAAAGCCGGGTGCGCATATGTTGATGGGAATATGCCCTTACCCGGCTGGTCAATGGTGGCCAGGACATTTCGGAGCCATCCCGCCACTTGATCGTCGGGTCCCGCTTGTTAACGGGGCGTTGAGTTGGAGCAGATTTACTGGGGCCGATATTACCGTAATGCCAAACAGCTACAGGAGGGTTAGATGCAGAGCTAGCTTGACAGTTCTAACTTCGAGAGTACTAGAGACGTGGCTTGTCATAATTTGGGGTTACGGAGATTGACTGCGTTAATGGTTTAGCAGTATTAGTAGTATCCCAATCTTGAGTTCCAGTTGCAGGTTGAACCGCATCCACTTGACGTCTCTCCAATCGAGAAAATTCCCGTGGCGTACACGGGTCACAGAATCCTGACCTCGGCATGACGCTTTGATGATTATTCAGTTGGTGGCTTCGACGCGAGTTGCCCCCACTAACAACAAGCCTGATTACGGAATCGTGCCATCGGCCACCACGGAAGCGCTCCGCATTTTATTTCAGGACTAGCTTGCGAAGATCTGCCGAGGGATGTTTCCAACAGAATCTGACTCTCAAACCATCACGATTCTGGATATGGTTTCGATCACATATAAACATCAATGCAACAGCTAATCAACATAATCTTAAAAATAACAATGGAGTTATTGGATTAAATTATATAATCCACTGTCGATCTGGGAAATCGTATCTGTGAACAACGGGGGAATATGTCTGATCTGATTCTTGCAGATCTAAGTCGGGATGGCTCCAGCAATGGGCTAACGATGTTAGTGCCCAACAAACTTGAATAATGAGGGGCAAACCCGGGGTAGCCTTTACCCCAGATTGACATGTGATGTAACCTGGTCACCGAAAAGCTAAAAGATGTCTGCTGCCTTTCCTGGGGACTCAAAGCGCCAGATCCTCGCATTTCATTCATTCCGAAAACAGGGTAACACACATACTTCTCACCATGGCGACCCGTACTAGAATTGACCTTCCAGAAGGTCCAAGCTCAGGGCCTCTGACAGATGCACAATGGCAGGTCTTGATGGCTATCATGGATACCATTATCGCTCCTTGTCCTGAAAGCACGCTACCTGCTGGCCAGACCAGTGCTCTACTCACTAACTGTGATGCCTCTACTCTCCATGCCTTTCTTGCCGAAATGCCTTCCAACATGCCACTGTTTCAAGAAATCTTGAAGCGTCTGCTGGCCAATCTCCATGCCGATAAACTGTCTGCCATTGGCACAGTATGTTCCCTTCTCGGGTAAGCCTTCCCCTCTCCCGCCCTTCCAGCAGCACGGTCATTCTCAATATCGTTATATGGCAGGAATCGAGCTGGTGCCCTCGCCCTCACTGGTTACTTCACACTATTTTGCGATCTGTCTATCCAAGATCGGACACTAGTGCTGAATTCTTGGCAAAGGAGCTCTCTAGCTACCTTGCGCGTCCTCTTCAAACAACTCTCAATCATTGGCAAGCATGTTTATCTCCGATCAAGTACCCTTTTCAATGAAGTCGTTGGCTTTCCATCCACTCCACCTGGATGGCACCCAGTCGAATCCTACTCCTTCGAGTTCATGCAGTTCAACAACTCGGATTACCATGTTCAGCTCGATACAGATGTTGTTATTGTGGGTTCAGGATGCGGTGCAGGAGTAGTCGCAAGGACGATTGCCATGGCAGGCCACCGCGTCTTGGTCGTAGATAAAGGACATCATTTCGAAACCTCTTCGCTACCTCTAGATCAAAGTGCAGGATATTTCCACCTTTTCGAACAGGGAGGTCTGGTATCCTCTGAAGATGGATCTATCTCTACGCTTGCAGGATCATGCTTTGGTGGAGGCGGAACAGTCAACTGGAGCGCGTGTCTACAGCTCCAAAACACAGTGCGCGATGAATGGGCTGACGAGCGAGGGCTTGGGTTCTTCAAATCAGCCAAGTTTCAGGCGCATCTTGACTCGGTCTGCGAGCGCATGGGCGTCAGCAACGAGCCTATCAATCAAAACCACGGCAACTCTGTTTTGCTGGAAGGTGGGCGCAGGCTTGGATACAGCGCTAGGCCGGTACCCCAGAACACAGGCAACTGCGACCATCAGGACGGATACTGCTCCATGGGTTGCTGGATGGGTAAGAAGCAAGGTCCAGTGAATGGTTGGTTACCAGATGCCGCCAGGTGCGGAGCCAAGTTCATATCAGGTTTTTACGTTAACAGAGTACTTTTTAAGAAGCATGGTGGTAGGAAAGTGGCCACAGGTGTGACTGGCACTTGGAGACCAAGAGTTGGCCCGGATGCTTCGGCAAGATCGGTAACAATTAACGCGAAGAGAGTTGTGATTTCAGCTGGCAGTCTGTGTAGTCCGATCGTCTTGAAGAATAGTGGACTCAAGGTAAGCAACACAGGCTCTCTTTGGACAACGTTATGACCTGCTAACACGGCCGCATAGAACAACCATATTGGACGCAACCTTCATCTACACCCAACATCATTCGTGTCAGCAATCTTTGAACAAGAGACACGGCCGTGGGAAGGTATGCCACCATACTCTAGACTTCCCTATTCTAGTAGTGCTCGCTCGTTAACACATGGCAGGCGGAATTCTCACCTCTGTTGTCTCGAGCTTTGACAACATTGACGGACATGGCCACGGTGTAAGGCTTGAGCGTCCCGCAATGCTAGTAAGTCTACCCTAATAACTAAATTTGGAAACAAAACTGATCTAGTGACAGCCTTCAATGTGTCTTACATGGTGCAACTGGACATCAGGGCCTGAATATAAAGCTATGATATCCAAGTACAGGCACATGGAAGCATACATTGCTATTACTCGAGATCGTCACAGCGGCCACGTCACAGCAGACCCGATAAATGGCACACCGCGTTTGGTTTATACTCCCTCCAAATTCGATGCCAGTAACAACTTGAAGGGTATGCTTGCCCTGGCAAAGATCCTCTACACCCAAGGCGCCACGGAGATACATCCCATTCTTCCCGGTCTTGAGCCATTTATACGGCAGCAGGAAAGTTTGTCGGATGGTGCTCACAGCCCCTCAGAGGCTATAGATCCAGGATTTTCGCAGTGGCTAAAGAAAATGGAAGCTCATGGGAACAAGACGCCAGATACACCGTATGGCTCTGCTCATCAGATGGGCACGTGTCGCATGAGCACCAAAGAAGCCGATGGAGTCGTGGATGAGTGTGGGAGGGTTTGGGGCTGTGAGAATTTGATCGTCGCGGATGCAAGTGTATTTCCTAGTGCGAGTGGTGTTAACCCTATGATCACAACCATGGCGATCTGTGAACACATTGGCTTGGCCATGGCAGAGGAGTTGGCTCGGGATACTCAGGAGCGCCCTAGGTTGTAGTTAAGCGATATCTTTCCGTGAGACACTTGCTCCGTGTATAGCGTTATCTCTGCTCGAGATTACAATGATAAATCTTACCATCGTAAATTCATCAGAGAAAATGAAAAATCATGAGTGACGAAATCGGCCTTTTTGACCAGGAACTATGTATCTATTTCTCTTCAACTATCACCCTAAACTCACTGCCTCCCAGTATTGGAAGCCCATCGTATCAGAGTCAAATGGGAAAGATAGAGTTAAAGCATCTTGGAGAGATAGATCTCCCTCCAGGACTGTATCCAATAATTCGTGCACTGGGTTCTGTTCTGGGTCTTCATTTGAACCGTGGTCTTCCGCCTCACGTCGTTAGTTCCGGTAAAACTTTAATTTAGCCTTTTACTGACCTTCTTGTCCTATCGTAATGGTCTGATGCATCTTCAAGAGTAGATCGAACGACTTCCGAACAGACAGGCTAAAGGAGGAGAGCGCCTCGAGAACTGCGTGGCATTTCTCCCATGACTCGGCCACTCCTACATGGTCTAGAGTAGCCCACAGCGAGGGGCATAGACGACATGTCATGAGCACGAGGCTAGCGGTCCAGGCATCTACAGCATCAGTTAGCCAATGAATACAGGTGAAGAAGGCGTAATTACATAGACTATTCCACCACCACGCTCCAGTTTTTTCTGTACGGAAGGTATCATGAACTAGATTTAACAGTCGAATCGCAGAGTTGACGCATGTTCTGGCTCCGTCTCGCTTGAAGGATGAATGCAAGCCATCATCTGCATCATCCGAGGCGTCAGAAGCTAGCAGTTGAGTCAAGATTGGCCGATAAAGCATGACACGTAGATATATAAAACTAATATGAGTCAGCAAGCATATTTCGTTTGATGCTTCATAGTACCAGAGATCGTACCGTGCGTGGAGTACATTTCTCTGAATGGCGAGGATCTTAGCATCCTCCGGCGAGATGGACTCCATAGTTATGGGTTTGGTCCACGAGAGAGAGCTGGGAACACTCGACTCGAAGGCTTGAAGCCGTCTGTGCAGCTCAACGAAAATATCCATGCTCTGACAGGCGGTGTTCGTATGAGACATAAGATTCTGGCCGTCGTCAGGGACCCTGCATTGCCAGGGCTTGTACACCTTTGATAGCATGCTATCCAGGATGATACTCAAACGAACAGATTCATTCTGAAAATGCAGCTTGGTCTTTGCAATACCCTCTACACTTTGGACATCAAAGGTCATGCTCTCCGGTACAGCAAGCGCAGAGAGATTGGTGATCATTGTTGGCCGTCCAAATGTCATACTCACGAGACTGTACTTTATTAGCAATTGAAGTGACAGTGCTTTTTGGTCCTTACGTATCTAGAACAATACATCCATACCATGTCCGGCGCCGAATCTGCCATAGCCGTGACTCGTGCTGATCGTACGGCGGTATGCTATGGAGTCCAAGACCTTGGGCCACCCGACATGCCATACCAACAGCATTCCAACAGCGATCTGGGAATGGAGTGCCCTGCAAGACAAGCGCTACCAGGAGGAGTGTTTGGACAACGCTCAAGTCGTTCAAGTCTAGCAAATCGAGGCCAATGTTCTGCTTGGATCGACTGAAGAAGAGTTCGTAGGCAGTAGCTCTCGCCGCCGTAGAAAGATCTGAGAAGATACATCCAAGCGCGAAGATGGCATTAAGTGAAGAATGAAATGCGATTGAAGTTGGATCTTCCCCCAGACCCAGATGTCGATATTCATTGACAGTCGAGGCCCGTCCACTTGGTAGCCACAGCGACTCATAGGCATGCTCGAAAGCATCTTTGTCGAAGATGGGATACAGGTAGTAGGCCCGTTTAAAGTATCTCTCTTTGAGATGATCTGCCAGGGCCCGTGGAGGAAGGACGAACTTTTCCATGCCGTTAAAGAGAGATGGATTCTGTAAAGTAGCGGCCTGGGAGTGTCTGGATGCCTGACGAGCCAAGAGTGGACTCGCAGTTCCGCAAGCCTCATTCAAGAAAGAAGCAGCAGAAGACGAACCGTAGAAAGCCTGACTCGTGTCGCGACATTGTGCGATGCCCTCTTCGGATGTAGTTGTTCCCATAGCAGTGACCCGCCTAGCATTGGTAGAACTCTCGATACTCTCGTTGGCAGATGATGATAATGGAGTAAGTATTTGACCCTGTGATATTCCCATGACGACAGCGTCTAGCTCGGTTTGACTCTGTGTGTAGACCTGCCTGTCCACGTGTACATTCTGGAGCGTGTCAGGGTTTATACCATGCGCCGTACAAGCCTGCTCCAGCTGGCGAATACGGTCGTGGAGAGATTTTGTGTAGCTATAACAGTCAGTCAGTCAATATATCCTCTCATATCCTACCACTTACTCGTCGCTACATGCCGTCCGCGCATTCCCCACCTGGTAGATGCACTGCTCAATGCCTAGTTGTCGACGCCGACATGTTGAGCAGAGCGGCTTGACCCCGTCGCAACGGGCCTTGCGTTCCCGGCAAGGTTCGCAGGCCAGCGTCACCTTGCGACGGCGTTGGCGTGGTTGCTGCTCTGACATCTTGGATAGGTACGTTCCGGATAGACACAGATCACCGATAGCGTACTATGTAGATAACCAAATCTACTTTGCAGGCAGTGTTTTGCCTGTTTTAAAAGTCGGCTCGCGCGGGGATGGATGAGGGGCAAAAGCCATCCTTTAGCGCTCCGACAACTCTAGCCCCTTGTTACTAAAGTCTACAGGAAGTAATATTAATACTATTTTAATTAAGAATTATAAAATAATTAATAATGCTTATATATAATTTTACTAGTAATAGAGCTACTATATCTTCTTCATAAGAATCACATATACCTTAAATACATAGTTTATCAACAGAAGACGCTTATATCCCAGTACCTTCACTATACAACTTCGTTCCGGGATGGTCCCGCGCCAGCGTGCCTTAGTGGCGGAACGCTTCCGACTGCATTCTCTGCTCCAGGTTAGGCTGTTAGCAGCAGGGAGAAACCAGCTGCCGAGGCCAAACCCTAAACAAGTTAATCATCACTCACCTGTACCCCCAGGAAGGTAAATAGTTTTAAAGGAGCATAGATGTCGAAAAAAATCATGATTGAAGATTGTTCACTATTATATACTGAGCATCACGCTGACCTTCCTTCGGTAATTGACGGTGTGTGGGTTCGCGGCTTGAACCCGTGAATGCTAGGCAGAGCCCGGCCGTGCCGGATTGAATCCGCTCACTCTCAGTACGAGGTAGCAAACAGACGCGTGCCAAGCATCATGCGGCGGTATAGTGAATGCCGGACCAACTGTTCCCTTGCATGTGTCGCACAGCGTGTAATTGCGAATCTAAATTAGGGTTGCTAATCTAAAACCCGACCGTGATGGTCTTGATATGGTCTCTTCTCTTTCGGCAGCGTTCCGATTACATGGCCCAGGATTTACACGTCATACACTGCTGAGGAAGCTGCGCCGCCCCAAAATCTGTATCAGCGACATAAAGGATAACTTGAAGACGAAAATTGCTACTCGATTTAAAAAATGCAGCTTTTGGTGGTTTTTGTTGGTCAATTTCCTGCACGAGACACCTCGACAAAATGATCAGTCAAATCACCCATTATCTCTCTTATGCTTTTGAGAGGGTGCCGGCCGCATCCTTCCTCGCTCTTTCACTATGTCTCGCCGTCCTTCTCCTTGTCGTTGTTGCAAAATACTTTGAGCCTGTAGGTAAACGGAGGCTTAGAGATGGCAGAAAATCACATCTGCCTCCTGGGCCGCCCGGATTACCTATAATTGGAAGTTTACACAAGTTGAAGGAGGCACGAGGTGACCCTGATCACAAATATGTAGGTTTCCTCTTATTGACAATTGAGAGGCTGTGTTGGCTGAGTCTACTGCAGCTCCGTGAACTTGCCACCTATGGCGAAATGACGACTGTCCACCTTGGCTCGAAGACCTGGATCTTCCTGAATTCCAGCCGGGTTGTCTCAGAAATCATTGCAAAGCGAGGAAGTGCAACGAACACAAGGTCTCCAATGCCTATATCGAGTGGGATTGTAAGCCGCGACGGCAGATCTCTGATCTTGCCCCAGGAGGCTTGGATGGAGCGACGACGCGTCATGCATAGCCTTCTCAACGGTACATCTTTAAAGCAATATGGCGAATGGCAGGAGCTTGAGAGTACTCAGATGATGGCTGAGTATTTGTTCAAGCCCCATCTATGGTATAAACATCACTATCGATATGCGAACTCAGTGATCCATCGGATTGCGCTTGGAGAGCGCCTGGGCAAATCAACCCAAGAACTAGCCGACCTACAAAACTGCGTCACCTTCTTCGTCGGCAGTATTGGATCTAGCGTTATCGACTGGTTCCCAGATCTCGCCAGATTACCCAAATTTCTACAAGTCTGGCGATCTCACTGGGAAGCCCTGGGAAAATGGAATCATGAGGTCTATCGGTCGTGGTGGGACCCTGTGAGAAAGCAAGTCGAAAATGGCACTGCACCTCCATCTTTCGTACGAGACGTACTCCTTAACGAAGAAACACGATACAAGGGCGACGATCAGGACTGCATGTATCTTGCTATGCAGCTGATAGAGGCTGGAAGCGACACCACCCGAGAAGCACTCAATATCATGGTAATGGCAATGCTGGAGTATCCAGAGCCTTTTCGCAAGGCAAGAGCCGATGTCGACAGTATATGCGGTGTTGGAGAACAGGCACGCTTGCCCGTTCTCTCCGACATGGACAATCTGCGATTTATCTGCGCGATTGCTAAGGAAGTACTGCGCTGGCGACCGATCTTTATAGTTACGCCAGATCACGTTGCGTCGCAAGATATCGAGTTCGAAGGATACCGCTTCCCAGCTGGCACTGGCTTCACCATCAACGAAGTCCCCGTTGGTAACGAGTTTGAGAAGCCGGAAGCGTTCTATCCAGAGAGATGGATGGATGGTCACGAGATGGATATCAGCCATGGGCTCTGGCAATTTGGAGGTGGACGGAGGATCTGCGTTGGCTACCGTCTGGCGCAGAGGAGTCTATTTCTTAATATTGCGAGGCTTGTTCAATGCGTTGACTTCAAGCCGGTAAGTCTATAACTAGGAGGATTCTTGCTCTTCTTTGCTAATGATACGCAGGATGGGCCATATAATGCCAGGATTCTTAACCTAGAGTCTGTAGATGAGCCATTCCCTGTCAAATCTACTATCCGAAGCGAGGCTTACGAGGTTCTTATTGTCAAAGAGGCCACCGAAGCTGGTGTTTTGGAGGACGCGCGCATGGACCAGGTGCAACTATAATGATGCTCTTCATAGTTCATACACTTGTCAGCTCTTTGACTAGGCTAGAGTAGCCCGCAGTGCCCAAAGTCATGTATTCCGTCTTATTGGAAATTGTGGCCGAGTTTAAACAGATAGGCGTTAGAATACATATATGTGGTAGTTTCGAAAGTGAGAGCTATATTTACTAAAGTTGCGAGACCAATGTCCAAACCACATCAAGTCTATTTCTCCTCCGCCGCGGTTTGCGAGCATCCCATATTTCATCTTCAGTCTTCCGTAAAGATGACATCTTAAGATTGACCTGCAGGCACTAGCTCCAGATCCCTATGTCTTGAAGTCATGTTGATCTAGCGCTGACCGAGTACTAAATGATCGAGGAACATTGGCTAGCAATTGGTTAGTTATTTTGGTAAAGTTGTAAGCCAGATGTGTTTTTTACAGTTGAGACTTGTGGCTGAGAGTTTGTATCACCACCGAGAACTTAGTGAAACATGGGCACTTAGATTAACCATTCGCTCCAGTCTTCTGCCAGTAATTGCCGAACCATCTTGGACTGTCCCTGTTTTGCCGCCGTAGGGGAATTTTCGCAGCTCTTGCATTCAGGAATTCCTCAAAACGGATAGCCACGGGACTCACCCGTTCTCTTCGGAAGCATCCCGGCGCAGGAGCTACCTCGGCCTGACGCAAAAGCTCTGCTGCAACAAAGGACTTTGACACGGGGAATTAGTCGTACTGACCAAGGCACCCAATCGTCCTAGGATTTGAGATACTTCACATGGTTTGGATCCTGCAAGTGCGACAATTATAAGAAAGAGGTCCTCAGGTTCAAACTTTACCACAACCAGACCCTTACAATCATCACAGTCCTCAGACGCAAAAAAGGTTTCTCCAACATGGCTACAGCTAAAGAAAGTGGACGGAATTACAGCCAATTTGCATGCATTGGCTCTGGCTTTTCCGCCATTGCTCTAGGCGCGACTCTTAAACGATGGTACGGCATTACCGACATACGTTTCTTCGAACGGCATAGTGAACTGGGTGGAACATGGTTCACAAATACATACCCAGGTATGGCTCAGAGGCTATGAGACAGGCCCCGGATGAACTCCTAGGCTGACTTATCAGGCGCTGCTTGCGATGTGCCAAGCGCCCTCTACAGCTTCTCCTTCGAGCCCAACCCAGACTGGTCTCGGATTTTGCCCTCCCAAGATGAACTCTGGAAGTATCTGAAAGGAGTCGCTGACAAGTACGGACTACCGCCAAAGATGACATTCGGTGTTAATGTCGAAAAGTGCGAATGGGTCGAGCGCAAGAAGCGATGGGTATTACATGTTCATCACTCCAAGACGGGCCACGTCTTTCATCACGAATGCAAATTCCTCTTTGCGGGGGCTGGCCAGCTTGTGACACCTCGGGAGATTGATATCCCCGGCTCCGAGAACTTCAAAGGTCCCATCTTCCACTCTTCTAAATGGAGAGGTGATGTTGATATCGTGGGTAAGAAGGTAATCGTCATTGGCAATGGTTGTACCGCTGCCCAGATTGTCCCATCTATCGTTGATAAGACAAAACATCTGACGCAAATAATCCGCTCTAAGCACTGGATCCTACCACCCATTGATGGGGCGTACACCGATGCTATGCGACTACTTTTCAAGTATATACCAGGCAGCATGTCGATACAGCGACTGATCATCTTTTTGGCTGCTGAGAATGAGTTGAAGGGTTTCCCTATGACCCCATCTAGTGCCAGGTTCCGCCAGAAGCGCCGCGCTCAGGCTGAGGACTACATGAAGACGCGTGCTCCAACTAAGTATCACGATATCTTAATTCCGAATTTTGAGGTCGGTTGCAAGAGACGGATCTTTGACTCTGGCTACCTCGATTCTCTCCATTCTAAAAATCTAACCCTAACCAACGAATCTGCCTTGAGGATTACTGAGGGTGGAATTGAGACGGACCGTGGTTTCATAGAAGCTGATGTCATTGTGCTGGCAAATGGCTATGTCACCAACACATTCCTTGGAGGCATTGAGGTTGTTGGACGGAAGGGAACATTAACCCAGCACTGGGGGTCATTTGGCGGAGCCGAGGCTTACAACTGCTCCGCTATGAGTGGATTCCCCAACTTCTTCATTCTCTTGGGTAAGTACCTGGTCTCACTATCATTGCAAGTCAACAAGCCTGGCTAAGTCCGTGATTAGGCCCTAATGCTGCAACGGGCCACACTTCGGCTATCATGGCTGCCGAGAACAGTATCAATTACGCATTGCGAATCCTCAAGCCCATCCTCAACAGCCCAGAAGGTGTCGTTGAGCTTTGCGAAGACGCCGAAAAGCGCTATGTCGACCGGATCCAAGATGACCTCGCCAAGACTGTGTGGAACTCTGGATGTCAGAGCTGGTATATCCAGACTAGCACGAAGGCGAACCGCACATGGAATGCCATGAGTTACCCATATTCTCAGGCATATTTTTGGTATAGGAGCTTATTCCCCGTTTGGGGTGATTGGAAGATTGCGGTAAGTCCAGACCCAGAGGGTCACCTACCCCCCTACTCTTTTATACTGAAGCTAAGACCTTCGGGTCAGGGTAGCAATACCAGCACTAAAGCGTCTTTATTTGTGCAACTCATCCGGACCGTGTTTCTTATCACGGCCGGCTCGTTCCTGTTTATCTCTTTCTATTTGTCGTGGAGGTATCAAGGAGATATTAAAACTTATGGGCCAATGATCTTGAAGGACCTCCTACATATTTAGTATGAGAATCAGAACTCTTTACTACCATTTTTAGCTGAGGACTTTTGTTTATTACAATATCAATATAGCAGTGAGCCTTTTCAGTCTTTGCTTGTAAAGCTTCTTGGTAATTTGCATCCATGCTTGATGCCCTTACTTGCCCTCTGATGTATTACTTACTAATGCACGGTTGAAACAAAACGGGTAGCAGAGCAACAGCTCCCTAATCTGAACCTGTTTATAAATACAGTCTTCACCTTTATTACTAGGGGGCTGGCTGGAACATAGACACTACCTACCTCTTCAAATTACAGAGGTGGATAGGCAGATATAAAACAGTTCAAGTAATAGTTTATTTATACATTAAAGAGAATTATAATAAGTATCTTGTACTTGCTTGATAGCACGTTTAGACAGGTTTATACGTCTTAGGTATATTTCTGTCCCTGAGCATGCTTATTCAGGAGCTTTAGTGAATTCCGTCGCAACACCTCAGGAGCAACCTTGTCCCCCCTCGAATTTGTCTTGACATAATTGTGATACCCGAGTAGAATAGCATCAATTCCATACTGAGGCACATAAGGAAAGTCAGACCCAAATAAGATCTTATCCGGACTAGCAAAGTCCAGCAAACCATCCAGCTGGGCGGCACTGGTGCTAAGAGCAATGTCGTAATGAAAGCGGGCAAAATCCTCCTTAGCTTGTACAAGATTGACTTTGACTTGCTTTGCTATAGTAGGAATACCTAGCGCACCTATGGCTCGGCCGCCGACAAAGGGAATAGTTCCACCAGCATGGGAAAGGACAATATCGATGTCAGGGCAAGCTCGAATGGTGCCTGTCATAACAAGATCCGTGGCCGCACGGGTGGTCGCAAGAGGGTAGTCGACAATAGGCTGTGGGATGCCTGGGCCAATCAGGCGAGGCTCGACGTCTAGTACTGATGGGTGTAGAAACACAAGGGCGTTATATTTCTGCAGTCTGGCCCAAATAGGTGCGAATTCGGAGTCACCGAGGAGCTTTCCGCCGTAGCTTGTAAAGACAATAACACCATTACAGAGTTTTTGTTCTCTGTACAAGTAATCGAGCTCCAACAATGTGCCATTGACGTCCTGAAAGTCGGGAAGAGCTCCAAAGAATCCGATTTTACCCCTGTGCTTACCCGTAGAGGCGTAGGTGCCAAGATCGTTGTTCAATTTGCGGGCAAGTTTTCTCGCGGCTTCGCCTGTCCCAGCAATTGAGACACCAGGGGATGAAACAGACAAGATTCCTAGAAAACGTCGTGTAAGCCTGGCTCCGCACGGTTAGGCTTGTCTTTGCGCTTACCGAGAGATGTCCCAATCGCGTTCATCGACTTCATGGCCGCATCCAGACTCCATTCCGGTGTTGGATACCCCGAGGGATCCCCCCCGGCGGCTGCAAGAGCATTCAAGTACGCCGGTGGCAGAGCATGGATGTGGGTGTCGATTCTTTCGGAAAAGACAAATGACACCAAGATGAGTAGGCCGTTGAGAACGGAGCGAAGTTGGTTCATATTTACAGAAAGATAGTTAGAAAACTTGTGGTCCAAGAATTAGAGCGAGGGATGCCAAGGTTTGCTGGACGGAACCGCATTTTATCTTGGCAAAACTTGAGCGGCGCTATGTCATGACAGGCAAGTAATGAAACGGGCTGTACTCTGCAACACCGGCCCGTATCCATGCACTGGTTCACGGAGGCCAAGAGTGGCTCACGGCATCGGCCCGAGGCTCCTAGGCCAACCGGATTCGTTGGCGGAACTGTCCCGATGGGCGTGACAGGAACGCCTCCGCGACTTGGTACGATAACCCGGTTTTCGGCACATGGCGAAAATGACTTGCCGTTGTTATGTGCCTGTCTCTTCGGATCTACACCATGCTATGTGGTTGAAATCATATCCAGGCCTTATTTCAGACACAAAATATTAAGGATACACAAGCTATCGCTGCCATTGTGACGCGCGTTTACTAGATCAGCCTTGTTACTAGCTTGCCCCACAGCCCCGCCATCTCAATAACCAAAAAGAACTAATACACATACTGAGCTCTGTTGGCTGTAATGTCGGGTTGGATGTTGTGACAAGTCTCGCTAAATATGGTGCTCATGCAAATGCTCAAATTATCTGCTAAAGAGAGTCTACTCTAACTGATAATCGTACACGAATCGGGCGTAAGCCTTTTGGTCACCCTTTGAGGCGACTGCAACGCGCATACAATACCGTCTCTCACCCCTAACCACTTGAAAGCCCCAAATCTGACTAGCAGTCCATCCATTCTCTTGGCTCACAGCATGACAGAGCACGAGCCCGTTACCCTCCCCCTCTACAAGCCAACCCTCCTTCAAAACAGCATCTTCAATATCCTCTAGGGCCACCCAACGGGCCTGTGCTTTGACTGTGCCAAAAAGCCAGTCATAATGATCGCGGAATTCGTTATCGAGATATCGAATCTCCTTGGTGCTCTTCAGACCTGAGGCTGTCTGAGTGGACTCAATGCAGATGACAATGCCGGTAGTCGAGCTCGTAGGAACGTGTTCATACTGCTTGATTTTCAGGTGAATTGTTGCGAGGCTGACGCCTTTGCGAGTAAGGTATCCGATGCCTTGTGCTCGAAGGATTGGGTCAGGATTGTCCGAAAGGTCCTTATTCTAGTATTGTGTATATATCAGTATTAGAACACATGCAATGAGCTGGCATGCCTCACCATTACCCAGTTCCCATTAAGGTCTTTAGTGGTTTTAGCTTGAGGAGCTGCCATGACTGCCTTTCGGATTTTGCTTATGGCTGTTTACATATTGTAGCTTTGTTTCTAAAGTAAGAACCAAACTAGCTTGCTTTAACTGTTTTCGAAATATGCGTATCCACTAGTTTGGGCTAGAGCGCCTTTGAGGCCTATGTTCTCTCCCATTACACGGAAGCAAGGGACATGTGGCTAACTTGCTGGCGGCTTGTTTCCATAAGCAAGCCTCATGCTAAACCGGATGACACCCGCCTCCCATCGGTACCACGGAAGGACAAAGGCTCTAAACTGGCAGGACCCTTGAAACGGGATCTTCGAGATGCTGTGGTCCTTGCATATCTTTCCCGAGCACAAGAGCTCAATAGCCACCTGGTGAATCAGACAAGTTTGGAGACGCAAGCTCACGTTTTTGTTCGCGATGCCTCATAAATTTTCTAACTTGGAGAAGCTTGAGCTGGCTCTCCGTCTAACATGCATAGGTATAGTCTGTCCCGCCAATTCATGCGACTTGATTGCCCGCTGACCTTTCTCTCCTCGCAGTACCTTGGCAGATGTTTGCTTCCGTATCACGCTCCCTCCTGATTTCCTGGACTAGAGGCCTCCCGGCGCGTTTATTTCTTGTTTGTGCAGTCATCAAGGTAGTTTTACGAACCTTCTCTCCCCGGCAGATTCAGTACTTGTCCCTTTCGACTAAAGACGTATACAAGTCTTGGATAGGACGAAGAATTGCCAAGACCAAGAAAGTAGGAGACCTAACGGCGGCTGCAAGACTTCGCTATGACTGGGAGCCTCTAGATGACGGAAATTCGTCGCTACTTTGGATTGGTAATCGGCGTGAAGCAAAGAAGGTCATTCTGTTTTTTCACGGTGGAGGTTATGTTTGCCCACTCCTGCCGGGTCATCTAGAATGGTGTTGGCGGGCGTATGTTGCTGCTGGCATTGAGATGGAAACCGAAGTCGCAGTGGCAGTCCTCGAATACACACTCTGTCCTGAGGCGAGATACCCGGTACAACTCCGCCAGGCTGCCGACGCCCTAGCCCATCTTTTATCTTCAAAGGTTCGACCTCGAGATATCGTTATTGGAGGGGACTCTGCGGGTGCGAATTTGACAGCGCAGCTGCTGTGCCATCTGATTGAACCCCATCCCGCAGTCCCAGAAGTTTTATTGCCTGAGCCATTGCTAGGGGCGTTCCTTGTCTCACCGTGGGTCACGCGCTGCACCGACGATGCATCATTCAGGGAAAATTGTTGGATTGATATGCTTTCTGGCCCTACCGTAGACAAGTCCACGAGGGAGCTGCTGGGTCCTGATATCGAAGAGACGTCAGCCAGCCTTGCATTTCCTCTTGATAGGGATAAGTCGTGTTTTGAGGGCATGGAATCTATCCTGAAGCAGCTTTACATCAGCGTGGGGGTTCATGAGGTCTTCAGAGACCAGGGCATTACCCTTGTCCATGAGATCCGTTACTTGAATCCCAAGCTGGATGTGCGTGTCGATATGCAGACCAGGCAAGCACATGACTTTATCTTGCTTGAGGGTCAGGAAGAACGAGATGGAGAGTGCATCCAGCATATGAAAGATTGGATGAGAGATTTGCTAGCTATAAAATTCAACAAGGGCTAGAGTGAATGTAGGATCGGTTTCAGTGGTAGTTGGCTAGCATATCATCATCACATTCTAGGGTAGCAAGGCACTGTGAGTCAAAGCGTGTGAGTAGACCCCGCTTTTGCTCATCTATTACGATCAGACTTAACGCAAGTCAAATGATACTCTATATACACTCAAGTCTTGGGTTTACATCATGACCATAGCGGCAAAAGTTGCTCCGAGAGCCAACCACATCTTGGGCCAGTTTCCAGCAGCGCTGTTAGTTGAACCGTCAGTAGCCGAAGCTGAAGCTGCAGCACTGCTCTCGGATGAAGTTGCACCAGCGCTAGTTGTCTCTGCCTTGTTGTTCTTGAAGTCGGAACTTTCAGTCTCGCTAGAGTCGTCGGACGATGCTGTTGTTGAGGACTCGGAGTCAGTCTCAGTGGCAGTCTTGGTGGTGAAAGTCGACTCAGAAGATGTCTTGGAGGAAGCCTTGGATGAAGTCTTGGAGGCGGTTTCGGAGGCAGTTGATGAGGAGTCATCATCGTCGTCACTGCCACTGTCCTTCTCATCAAACTCGATGCTCTTGTATGAGCCTGTCTCATCGCTGTAGGTGTAGCTCTCAGCAGGGTTGAGGTTCTCAATCGTAATCTTCTGAACAGTCATTGTGTAAGGACCTCCACTGTAATCAGTCTCTCCACCAGCCCATTCGATAGTTCCCTCAGCATTGTCAGGATCGCCACCGGCCCAGATGCCAAGCTTGACGCGCATGGGAGTCTGAGGATAGTTCTCTCCTCCAAGAGCATCGGCATAGTTGAGGGTGCGAACCGCAACGCCGTTGATGTACCACTCGCAAGAATCCTTGGTCCAGTGAATGGTATAGTTGTGGAACTCCTCCTGTGCGTTGGTTACGGGAAAAGTAGCGCTTCGAGTATCGGCCGCATCGTTGCCTTTGCCGTAGTAATTGGTCTGAACGTCTTCGTCTTTACCTCCAAGCCACTCCCAATCAACCTCGTCGAGAACATCAGAAAGAAGAACGACAGATGAGACGATACCAGTTCCGGGCGCAGCCTTCAAGTGGACCTCCATGCGACCGAAAAACATGTACCACTTGCTCTGAATAGTAGGTGAATCACCCTGCTTAGCGACAGTGAACTCAGCACCATCAGAAGTATACTTGACAGTGCCATGGCCGGTTCCCTCCCAATTGTCGTCATCAGCACCTTTCGTGAAGTCGACCGAGTATGATGAAGAAGCAAGACCTTTGTTGGGATCGCATGCTGGGCCATAACGTCCGTCACCCAAAGACTGGCCACCCCCACAGACCGGACACCCCGACCAAAACACCAAGAACCGGATATCATGATCAATTAACTAATTATCTCAACACCACATTTTTTATATTAAATAAAAATTTAGTCAGTGAATATTTAGATGAAACTGAGTACAAAGGTCCTCAAGTTTTAATTTCTTAACCCTATTTGCCGTT